CTCTCAGGGTTTGGCTAGAGTCGCAAAGTCCGAGCCTAGATCAACGCTCCCTACTACCGTTGAACTCCTTTCTGAGATGTGAGGTATGTGAGACTTTACCCATGTTGTCTGCATTTCTGCCCCATAACGTCAGGTGCCTGTGTACTGCGCCGCAGTATAATATGCTCAACTCTCTTTCACCTCCCTGTAGTTAAGGGAACCACCCCTGTCAGCACGGAAGTAGCATAACTTTGGAAATGTCAAATAGTTTCTTCACAGCCCGCGGGGAGTAGCTAGCCAATTTGCATATGTGATACAAATACCTCGCGTGTCAGATCACGTCCAAGCAGATGCAAGTGTTCTGTGCTATTCAACCAAAGGAACCTCTTGGTGGTAGGTAACTGGTTCGGGAATCGGGAGACACCCTACCGTGTCGACCTGTCGCGGCTCACCAACGGAATACCCAACTGGGTCAAGGAGAGCGTCCTTGTAGAAACTGAACCTAAGACGCGTGGTTTTGTCATAGAAGGTTGAGTTCTGATCATGCAACATCTTTTCCAGCTGGAATGCTTGATGGACTGGTGGCTCTGACCTCGGGCCTGGATAATACGTCTGTATCCAGGCTTGAACAGCCTTACGATGCTCTGTCGTTGCAAGCAAAGGAGTCACTCCACTCCCTGGAACGAACCGTTGGCCTGTCTGAGAATCGCAAGGCGCTTCGCGCATCAATCTTGAGCTCCTGGCCTCCATTTCCACGGGTCATATCTGAGCGACCTCGTCTTCATAGAGGAGAGGTATAAAGAATATACCCTCCAAAAAAGGCGAAACGTCTCGGAATCCTGATGAGAAGCTTATAAATTGGGAGAAGTATGCCCGTATAGCTTCAATCATAAAGGTGCTGATAGAAAGCCAAAGAGCCTCTGACGTCACTCCTGATATCGAGCTCCAAAGCTGGTTAGAAAAAAGGCCTTGAGGTCTTGGTATAAGAACCAAGGGCTGTCTGGATGAGATATACTATCAGCGGAGGAAATTCCTGAGTCAGGAATACCAGCGCAGAAGAGTCGACCGTTTTTTTTATTTGCTTTTAAACTTGGAGGGCCGGCGGAGAAAAGACAGTGCTTAAAATAACGGGCTGTAGATTAGAAAAGCATATTTAGAGTCGTTCTATACTTGGTTCCTTTCGCTACGTGGTGCTTGGGGTCCTACAACCTTAACCTCCTTCGTCGAAATGAGTCATATGATCTAGGCAGTCACGATCACCTTCATTGCATTAATGGTCTTAATGTTAAAGTAAACGGTAATATCATCCAAGCTATGTAAGATCTATAGATAAGTGTAGTCGCTGTTATACCGCGGCTATGTCCACTATATAACGAATGTCTCGAAGAAGAAATTTTATCCGAACCGCCAAAGAAGAGCCACCAAGTGGCAGCTCCCTCCCCACTAGCTTAACGTGCAGTGGCGATAGCGCGTATACAGTGACAAATGAAGACATTAAATAATTAAGGAGTGTCGTGTAGCGTCATGATCCATCATAGCCTTGCCGGAGGCAACACCTGTCACTTTGGACTACTGCCAGAAGTGACCAGGTCAGAGGTAAGAACATGAACCTCTGAGGCTGTCGAATGAGAGGTATAGATCTCTTAAGCCTTGTAGTCCTTGCCTTCCTTGTGGCCACCACCGGGCTTGTGGTAAGTGGGATAAGGCTGCTTGGTGACAGTCTTGGTAACAGTCTCGGTCTTGTACTTGGTGATGGCAGGCTTCCACTTGTACTTGGTAACCGTGTCGGTTTCTGTCTTTGTCTTTGTGACGGGAGGCTTCCACTTTGTGATAGTGTCGGTCTGAGTCTTGGTGACATACTTGGTGACGGGAGGCTTCCACTTGGTAACGGTGTCGGTCTCGGTCTTGGTGACGTACTTTGTCACGGGGGGCTTCCACTTTGTGACATACTCGGTCTTGGTGACGGGAGGCTTCCACTTGTACTTTGTGACGGTCTCGGTCTCGTACTTGGTGACGGGGTACTTCTTGGTGACAGTCTCGGTCTTGGTGATCGGGGGCTTGTAGATGGGCTTGGTGACGGTGTGGGTAACTGTTGCGGTCACGGTCTTGGTCTTGGGGGGAGGTGGGTAGTGGTCGTTGTTGGGGTTGGGACTGGCGAAGGCCAGAGGGATTGAGATGAGAGGAGCGATGAAGGTTGAGAACTTCATTTTGGCGGATGGAGCGAAGGTATGATGGAGATTTGGTGATGCTCTTGAAAGAGTGGTGAGGAGAGTTGAGTCAGTGGTTGAGCCTGAGCGAGTCTTGGAATGAGGAGATCACAAGTCCTCTTTATACAAGTCGTCTCCATATAGGCCGTCCACTTCTGCTGTCCAACGTCTCTCGATGAGTTGCTCGATTACTACATATTGCGAGATGCACATGCTCAATCGTACCATCACCCAAGTTGGCCTCATCTTCTCACCAACACCCAACCTCAATCCCGCTCGGCCGAATATTGAAAGCTCTTGTTGAGTTATTCAATATTTTCACCTTCACCTGCCAATCATAACAATTATCTTCAGCCATAAGCTCGTATCTGCCGGTCAGCTCGTGTTTATGCAGCCATGAACAAGTATTAATGCAGGTCGACACCCTTTATTGAAGCAAGCGGGACGGGAATATGGTAAAGCTCATCTGTTGTGGCGATTTTGTTATAAGTCAGCTTACCGGTTGACCGTTGTGTTTGGAGGGTCGCTTCGCATATCAGGCTATCTTATCAGAGCGTATCATTCGACGAGTGAAAGAAACAAGCTCTGTACTATTTTAACGGTTTGCACTATCGCAGGCTTGAACTGACGTGAACTGCACACCCGATTGCGTGATCGATACGCTTATCTACACGGGACGCTTTGACATCGAACTCACAATGGTGAAACTGTAGTCTAAATGCCAATATGCCCAGTGACTACCGTTTTTACCGGTTTGCGGGGGATTTACAGGTACCGGGCCTTTAACGCGGAGGTGGTGGCTACACCACGTTACACTCTAAGAGCCAAGAATAACAACAGCCATTTACCGGGCCAGCTGAATTCACGACCCGTGACCCACACACTCCTCAAGTCCATATCTTGGCACGTTATTTTCCGAGATACATCTGTAGAGTTTTCCGCTTGGATGACATTCCCAAAATCTTGTTTTGACAGCGTTACCTTGAAGGATGCAAGCTCACCTCCATCCCAGCCTTACGTGAGTGTCAGAAACAAACCAATAGGCCTGCACAGTCACAGTGATCCAGGCCTTGTAACACGTTGACCGGTCCTGTTGGGCTTACTCTGCATCTGCAAGCTTCAGGTCAAGCCCCGCGTTCCAAGAAAACTCACGCCAATAGACTGTGACTGCTGACAACCTGTTATATGGGGATAGAGGGGAGTTGTCAGATTGCGCAATCGCAGGGGTGTAGTGATTGGCCCGTGGAGACAAGGTACCTGAGCCTACTGATGACCGATCAGGGCGATCAGAGAAAAGTCGATGACGCTAAAACGTAGCGACAACAACGTTTTGTTAGTGGTGGTTGCAGTTATACATTTGACTATGTCAGTGATGAATCATAGAAGGTGCCGGATATAACCTTCTGCTTTGAGGCAACAATGCATGAGAAGAGTAATGTCGTGAGAAATGATTTCTATCCTTGTGTCGTGATGTTACCATCTGCGTGAGATATTGCTGGGCTTACTTTGGGCAGCCTTGCTGGGAATAATGGCGTCGGCTGCATCAATAGCCTTGACGTTGTGTGATAAATGTGATTGAGATATGGCTCGCAGTGGAAACCCAGTGAAGCAATTCATTGGTATAGCCAAGTTTGTGATCAACAGAGGCGTTTTCGGCTGCATAAGATTGAAATGAACTGATGTGTTCACCTAGTGGCTGCCTTGGCAACCTGCAGCCTTCTTTTAAATATGGACATTTATTTTCAGCTGTTGATAAGAACTCTTCAAAATGACGTTTTGTCAATCTTGCGAGATAACGCTAATTCTTGCATCAATTGAACTTGCAAGTGATGATTCGGCAATGGATAGAAGAGGATCCATAGTCAGATGCTAACCAGCATATTCGTTGTTCACAGGCAGCGATATCAATGCATAATATTGGACTGTGTATCGATAAGATGATATGACGGCAATCTGTGACTAAGAGGTTGGTAGGCTTCATCCCAAGCGATGTAGTATTGCATTTTCCCCATAGGGCTTTGTGCTTCACAGTGGCATGCTTCCTGCAGTGAGATGTATTACATTGGGCGTTGGGTTGGCTATTGCACTTGCCATCGCAGAATGGTGTTATAATAAGCTCTGAGATGGTTCGGGAGTGGCGGGAGTGGCAGAACGTTGCACTGGTAAGAACTGTTATTTCTTGTAAGCGTCATTGGTGAGATTGTCTAATTGCGGTTTCCCTCATCGACTTGGACGTGATAGAGCTCGCGAGCATGCCAAATGATATTTTCAGGAGCCTTTTAGAGAGCTCCAGAAGTACATTTTGACTTCGATAGGTAAGGCTCAGCATTGCAGTTGGAATGAACTTCATCTGATAGTAGATGATTGCCATCAGCAGTAGAGAGCAGTCCTGATCCTTGCAGCTTGGCGCGTCAGATCACAACTCAGGTCATCCCAGCCAGTAACGGTGACCAATCAAAGATGCATTGACCTTCCAAGATCCCCGTAGGCCGCTAATGCTCCTCAAGTCTTGTTGTCTCCTGTTTGCAAAGCTTGTCTCCCCTTGTAGTTGTTGAGGCTACCGCAAGACCAAAGGTGAGGAGGCCCTTCAAAGGTCGTGGCGGGTAACTTGATCCCTTAGGTCTGCAAGTTTCAACACTAGTTGTCATAAAAGATCGAGTCACATGATTGGTATACAATTTGTTAGTAGCATATTGTTAAGTGCGAAGAGGATGCATTAGTCGTCGCAAAGAAAGTGAATATTTACTACAAATGAAATATAAATTTTCTATCAAGTGGTAAACTCTGCAATGATTTATCACACGCTATTTTAACCACTCGCGCTTTTGCAACTCGTTATATATGCAACTGAATGAACCCCTCTAATTCCTTAAATATCCATCACTCGTGCTTCTCCAGCCAACTATTTCGACCCCTCAAATCCTACTCGTGATCCAGATACAACAGACAGTTCCGTATATGAGCTTTCAGCATCTAGAAGTTATTAGTTTCGGAGGTCACTTTGTCCTTTGACATATCTTACCAAGCTTGGGGGTCTGATCGACAAACCACGGGAAGAAATATCCAGGATGTAGAATGGTCTGCGACAAAGTCGCAATGAGAATCATGCTTCACCCATGTTATTAGCAGTTCGTTTGACCATAGTCTAGAGTTCAAGGCAGTACTCACACTGACTCAAAGATAATGAAAGGGATTTGCTCTCTCATGAGCTTATTGCCCCAACCGCCTCGCATCTCCGCAATGCGATACACGCAGCGGATATAAATCGCCATAAACGCCGTCGTAAGTCCACCCAAGAACAATCTAAAGCGAAGAGTTCGCCAAGCCTGGAGGGAATTGCCCTCAAGAGGATTCGTAGTAAGAGCTCTCATTCTTCTGACGCAGAATAAAGTTGCAAGTATCGCAAAGATTGATAGCGTCACGACTTGAAAAGCTATACCCGCCATCATGATATTATTGCCCATTTCGATCCTATCTTTGTCCGTGCTGAAGTCAGAAGTCGCTGTGATACCACCGCCAACAGCTTGCAAAACCAACGATACAACATCCGCAGTGATGAAGATGATAGTATACCATTTTGGTTTCAGCACAGACCACTTGGCTCCAAAGAGCGCAACGATATGTTTTAGCATGAGATATACAGCCGCGCTGTTGAATGCAGGGCCAATAATCAGGCAGCAGATCTGCGCTTGGAAGGGTATCGCGTTGAATGGTTGAAAGTACATCCCCACGCGTCCGACATAGCCCAAGACTTGGGCTAAGCAGCCCAGACTGAGAACAATCGCATAGGCGCGGATGCGGAAACGAATGCCGAGGACGATATTAGCAACGAATGCGATGCCGAAAAGCACAGCTAAGAAAATGTTGCCGCCGAGATTAGGACGATAGCCATAAGTTGTGAGCTCGATAGGGCACTCTTTGGAGATGTGAGTGCAAATGAGTGGGTCTGAGGACATCGTGAGAAGTGATATTGTTGTTGACGAGATACGATAGGAGGAGGCGATGCAAAATGTTGTGTTTAATTGGAATTGAACATTCTTTCGGTTGAGATTTCAGCGCTCGCTTATATATCAACCCGTTTCCTCGTTCTTCTACGCCCTTTGCGAAAATTCATCACATCTCGGTGTTTGATACGAATTATCTAACTATAGCCATCATCTCTGATTGGTCAAAAGACCGAGCGTCGAAGAAAGCAGCAATCTCATCATGGTCTGAGGATCTGAAACGCGTCACCAAAATTAAGCATACGATAAAAGATTACGTCCCCTAGTCAGGTCCAATCTTATCGATTCTTGTTCCAATTGGTCAATCGTCTCAGGCACAGGATTGAAGAGAATCCTTCACCTCGGTCTTTGTCTCAGCCTCTTTTCCCATCGTAAGCCGGGCTAATTCTAATTGGACACTTATCTTCTTCGCCCCATTAATCGCTCGGTCTTTCAGTTTGCGCTAGCATCGTTTTGGCGATCATGACTCCCTGTCAGCCTCGTGGGGACGGGGGCTGATTTGCTGACGGTTTTAATAACGCCTTCGGTCTTTGCATTTTCTGTCTCCTCGGTCTTCAGCAAGCCAAGATGGTAGATGCGACTAAACCCAAGAGAACGAGGACCAATGTTAAGCAGTCCAAGTTTGGCTGTTTCACGTGCAAGTATGACACGTGTTCTCTCGTTGTTACTGCAATGCTGACTCGTGCAGGGCCCGGCGAATCAAGTGCGATGAAGGCAAGCCGGCTTGTCAACGGTGCTTAATTTCGAAGCGAGAATGCCAAGGGTATCCCCGAGGTGCATATCCAGACTCGGATAACACTGCATCGACGACTTTATCGCTTGTATCCGCCTCTTCTTCGCCCTCAGACTCCTCCTCGTCGCAATCACCCTCGGCAATAATCATCTCGACCTTGAGATCCCTCGCCTTTAACCCCTATTCCCTCTCGAGTCCGTTCGTCGACCTCGGCTGTAAAGTCTTGGTCCAGAGTCCCCGTCGTGCAAGGAACAATGTTGAGCAAACATTCTGGTCCTGTACCGTCCTCCAATTAGCCCAATCTATCCCCTCAGTACGCGCCGCCATCGAGGCATTCGGCACATCCTACAGCGAATATGTCCTCAGAGGCACATCTCCACGGCCAGGCTTTGAAACCACAAAGCGTTACTCACAGGCCCTGAGGTTGGTGCAGCAAGACCTTGTCACCTTGCCGAATGGTCCCATTCCATGTGTCGTTGCCTGTCTGTTCCTTGGGTTTGTGGAGGCTTTGCAGCAGAGACTCAACAAGGCCCTTGTGCATCTCCAGGGTACTTTCTCCCTCATGATGTCACTGACCGATAAACAACTTCTTGCAGAGGTTGATACCGATAGTCTTGTGTTGCTCTTGAAGAAGCTTGACCTCCATGTCGCTACATACGCCGTATCCCATCCCCCAAATCTTCCCATGAAACCATTTGTCATGGGTGAGGTACTACAGTCCTATCCACCAGATGGGTCACTGTTCAAGATTCTACACTCAAGCTACCATTTCACCGCCAAAGCCTTCCGGTACAAGTACACCAGTCGCCGCACGATTCCACCCGAACTTCTTATAGAACAGGGCCGACAGCTTGCCAATTTGAAGCAGTGGCTATCACTCAACGAGATCCCAGCTACTTCTAATACCGAATCACACGAATCGCTCATCGTTCTACGATCTCAATGTCTCGCTGCTCTGGTCAACACCGCCACTATTCTCGAGCCACGTGAGACAGTCTACGATTGTTACGGCCCGGAATTTGAAGAAATCATCACATCAATTGGGGCATTGTTATTGAGCAAAAGCCTCCAAGGTGCGCCAAGACGCAAGAACTCGGACTGGCTACCGTCTTTCGTGCCTGAAATGGGCATAATTCACCCATTGTATTTCACAGCAAAGAAATACAGAAGCCCGTTCTGGCGTCGAAAGGCATTGGGCCTCATACTGAAAAGTGGAAAGGAAGGTCCATGGTGCGCTGAGACGGAAGGGTCCTTGATAGCAGCCCTCATCAACGCTGAAGAAGGGACTTTCGACAAGGAATCGCTTCGTTTGGGACATACACTGGATCAAAGTCCCGCTTGCATACCAGAGGAGAAAAGATTCAGCCACGTCTGGGCAAGTGATCCTGAAAGCGAAAATGGGGAGTGCACGTATAATACGAGAAAGAGATATACGAGAACCATGATTTATAGATGTCGGGATGTAGAAGCGTTTATGCGAGATAGAAAAGGGCAGATTCCAAGGGGCATCCCTTGGGTGGACCCTGAGCTTTGTGAGATTGATCATGAATGGTGGATTGGACGGGAGGAGCCGTTGGAGATAATCTTTTCGGTTGGGGAAGGGGCAGCATGATCGCGGGAATTCTAGGAGGATTTCATCAATATTCATGGGAATGGTAGCGAGGTAGGGTTATAGAATAACGGCTGAATGTTGGGATTTATTGTCGAGATCGAACGCATGGTCAACAGCAGCTGAACAGTAGATGGCTATACCTCTAAGATAACATTTTTCCGTGCAAGCTCAACGCCGACCAAGAAATCCCATCTTCCTGGTCATTTACTCCTTAAGACAAGTCTCCTCCTTCTCATTCAAATTAGTAATAACCGAAGCCTCACAAAACACAAAACCAGCAGCTTCAAGGAACACCGCAGCACCAGCGGTCAGAACATCCACAGCAACAGCAGCCGTACCGCAGGCAAAGACCTCAGCAACAGCAGTGGTAGTAGCAGAAAGACGACACCGCTTACAAGCCTCGCTGCAATTTCCCTCGTCGAGAAGAAGTCGTCCACGGCCCTGTCCGCCCTCGATAGCTTTGGCGGAGTCTTCGCGGGCTTGCTGGAGGGCAGCCTCATTGGCGGCGTTTTGGCGCTTGGTGGGGAGGGTGCCGGCCCAGGCGGAGGTGGTGAGGATGGTGGTGATGATGATTGAGGCCTTCATGATGAAATTCTGGAGGGAGATTAGTCATGTTCTAGCACTGTAAGGGCTTTGGGATTTAACGACGGTATGGGCATACTTAAATAATGAAAAGGTCAAGACCAGCTTGTTCTGAAAAGAATAGAATGAGAAGTGAGGAAGAAGAATTGTTGATGTTGCGACTGTTGAGAAAGATGTTGAATCGGCAATGGCAATGGGAATGCTCTTTATACAGAAACCAGTTGCCAGGGCTATCGACAGACAATCATTGGACAAGCTTGTAAAGAACTCTATCTATGGCGCATGAACACCAAGAAAGATGACTATTCCCAAAGTATCCAGGAGTCAGACTGGCGAGTCATGGGATATTCCAACATCGCGCCTTCTGATCAGATCTTGAACATTCAAAGGCCCTGATTCTCCTACACCCGTATCAACACTCTAAGAAGATGGTCCGTTTTCAAATTAAAGTTCACTACGAAATCAGACTATTCAGATTCTCTAACAGATCTGTAGAATACATTGAGCGAATGCAGTAATTCAATCGTGTATGAACTTTTGACAGCGGTTTTATTAACCTAATTGGGCTGACGCAGGTTAAGCTTACAATTATGCATGGATGTGAAACGAACGGCACTGCGGTCTCATCTAAACCTTAACTGTCAAATAGGAAAATCTGCTCTAGTCATAACACTGCAGTTCCTTCACAATTGCCAAGACTGGTTTCAGGGATCTTGGCAATCTACCCCTCAAATTCGCAATGCGTCATGAGGACATATCAGAAGTTCATTCATCAACGGCGTCTTTCTGTTGAGATCTGAGTATACTGCAGTAAAGATAATTATCAGCTTATGATTATCAGCTTCTTGTCTTCATGACTAAGCAAGGAATTGCCTCGATGTATGAGATGAATTATTGAGACCTAGGAGTCATCGGAAGAAAGCGACATAAGCATTGCACTTCTCATAGAAATAAACATGCATTCAAACATTCCTGCATGGACTCATATTATTCTCCATCTATTCAATTGAGAAGCCCTGGATCTATCGTCCTGGCTTCAACTCCAAGTTGGTAAGCCCTAGTCAGTAAATTGAGTTTCTCTGAGGCAAACGTGACACCGTCTCGGATTTATGCCTTCCGAGCCTATAGCATAGAAGCAGTTTCAGAACAATTTAGCCTTAGTATCGTTTGCGAATTGGATTCTTTTTTAGGAATGTAATAATATTACAAGCCGTCTTCTGCTTGGAATCATGCGATGATAGTGTTGAGATGACTTGAGTCAAACCGCGAGAATATGGAACAGTAGAGAAAATAAACTTTCAATGACTCGCATCGACTGGTTTCAGACATGCAAAGACTCCTTTGTTGAACCGAAACCCCATTTCTCCTGTCTGGACTACTAGGTAGTGTAGATGATTAACTAGATCATCGATCTATGCTGACTATAAGAGGTGCTTCATTCCTCGACTAGAACATCTAAGTAGCAGCATCATCAATATCTCTTCATCTACTTCCTTATCAGATCAGCCATTCCCCTCCCCAGGTTTCGATAACCACAACTCAAGGTAATCACTTAATATACTAGACTCATCTGATAAAGTCTAACAAAGTACCAGTCTATTTCACCAAAGTTAAGCAGGTCTTAGCAAAATCATCAAAATGAAGTTCTTCACCATCGCCCTTCTCTCTTCCGTTAGGTAAATCCCTCCTCTTTCCTCTCCATTCTCCACTGACATATGCCGAATACAGCACCGTCATGGCTATTGACTGCTTCTGCGTTACCACTGACGATGACGTTGCCGCTGGTCGGCTTCCTCAGCGCACGTTCAGGCTCAGTGGTCGTTGCGAGGAACTCGGAGGGAAACCTGATATCGAGTCACGTACTTGCGAATTACTCCCGGATGCTGCTGCTTTCACTGAGGCGGATTGCAACGCTGACTCTGGCGACAGAGTCCTTGTTCCCAACTGCTTTGCTTCTGTTCTCTAAATCTAAGGCGGACTTGGATACAAGGGATGTATTAGGGAGGTTCCAAGAACTAAGAAGCAACTATATGAATAGAAAGTCTCTTGATGTGGGGTACCGAAAGTACTAAGTGGCCTGAAAAAGTCTACTTCTTCCAAAACAATAATCGTGTTCCCTTCTTAGGGACCCTGATCAACCAATATGCTGCTAACGCTGCAATGATATCGAACACAATAAAAGCCCACAGCAGACCAAAGTTTCTCCATCTCTCACTGTAGAGAATACTCAGAGTTGTAAGGTATGTATCAGTCGAAGCAATCGGACAGTAAAGGCACGTCTGGTTCGACCCTGGGTTGGACAGAGCGCCTCCGACCGCTTGCACAAATTGGCCAACATACTCGCCGCAAGTGAGATTTGCTGGCGTCTGGAATTGTAGAAACTCGATCTCTGAGCATGTTAACTCTTGCTTGCCAACGCCATTTGAGATCATGGCACCGATGAGGTAGGTCAAGGGAGAGACGCGATACATCAAGGTCCAGAATCCAGGGAGGCTCGCGTATGGTACGAGGACACTGTGTAAATGTTAGAAGACCGAAAAGATCATGGAAACAAGTGATTTACCCGCAGAAGACAAGAGCCATCATGAATAGGAACAACCCAAGCGTCGCTCCAACCTCAGCAGTCGGCGCCCCAGCAACACACATATGCGCAAACGTTCCCTCATACACCATAAAAGCCCACGTCAAGAGAAACATGTATGCCCCTCGCTCATGCTGCGTATCCGTGATGCGACCATTATCATACATACCAACGAGGAAGTAGAACGGGAAGTAGATCGCCAAAGATGCCACAGAGTTCCAAGCCATTTCGATGACTGTGTTGGCGAGAATGAGATTGTACCAAGCATATGTCTTTGAAGATCTTTCGCGACCTTCGTAGAGTGTTCGTTGGGTGACGAAGCCTGGCATTGTTTGGTAGATTAGGAATGCAAAGATCACGAGGAGCATGAAGATCGAGAAGAGTTGGTTCTGGAGACCCTGGAGGGATAGTGGGGAGTTTTGGAAAGAGAGGCCGATAAAGAGACTCTGAGATATGTTAGTAAATGTTTGTGAAGGGTCAGTGGCTGCCTTACCGTGATGAAACAAAGGGAGAGCTTGGAGTAGATGTAGGTTGGCGTTCGCCAGTATTGCTGGGCAACGCGCTGAGTGCAAGCCAGGAACTGCTGTGAAACCGAAGCAGCGTAAGAGGTATCCTGTGTGTCTGCTTCGCTAGTAACGTGTCTCGACTGGGCCAGGCTGTCAAGCTCCTTCTGAACACCGTGGAACTCAGAACTCGCCTTCCAGGTCTCGACCCAGTCACGATTCGTATGAGCACCCGGTGCAGCACCGATAACGTGGAGCATCCACTCAGCGGGATTTTCTTCCGGTCGGCACTGAACAGCATCATGTCTCTCAAAGTATCCCGTCAAGGCAGTGGCATTCTCACCAATATCGCCAAAGTAAACAGTCCTGCCACCTTTCGCCAGAAGTAAAAGTCGGTCAAATTGCTGAAAGATGATGCCGGATGGCTGGTGAATGGTACACAGGATAGCCAGACCGTGGTTTGCGAGCTTCTTGAGGAGAGACACGATTGCCCATGCTGTTTGACTGTCGAGCCCAGAGGTTGGTTCGTCAAGAAAGATAAGGGCTTCGGGTTTGGCGACTAGCTCGACACCGATGGAAAGGCGCTTCCTTTGCTCTACGTTTAGACCTGATTTGTTAGTCGTCTGCAACAGCTATAGATTGGCAGAGTGACATACCTTTACCCGAAACTCCTATGACAGCATCTGCATATGAACCCATCTCCAACAGGCTGATCACCTCTTCAACGTAGTCTATCTTGTCTTGCATGCAAACAGAAGACGGTTGCCGGAGAGCTGCGCTGAATCGAAGCGCCTCTCTCACAGTAGACGTCTCGAGGTGAATGTCCTGCTGCTGTACGTATCCGGTGGTTCTCTGGAATGACTTGCCACGCGGTAGTCCATTGACAAGTATGTCGCCCGTGATGACACCCACAGTAACGCGATCGGCTAAAACGTCGAGAAGCGTGGTCTTTCCGGCTCCGGTGGCACCCTGCAATTGTTAGAGCACGTATTAAAAAGGTAAAGGTGACTTACCATCAAAGCCGTCAGCTTTCCGGGCTGAACCCAGCCATTAACGTCTGAGAGAATGCGGCGTGTTTCGCCCTTGACTTTAACATCATAGCACACATTTCTCCAGCAGAATGTAGAGGAGCTCGGTGGCTTCTCAGTCGGAACGTGATCCATGTCATCATTCACTACTTGCGCAGGCTGAAATTCGGACTTGACGGCTTCTTCGTCGGAGGTCTCTGGATGCCGAGATTTCTTGACTTTGCGAAATACGAGAACCTCACCCTTGGATGCTTCGGACGAGAAGTACTCCGCCGCAAAGAGATACGTAAAGGTAAAGAAGATGATGAAAGCGATGAGGATGCCAAAGTTCCTAACAAGTTAGCTAAGTCTAGAAGATACATGTTATAACGTACCTCCATAGATGCGAGTAGTGGTACTTATAAACAGTCCCCATAAAGAAATCACCGTCTATGAAATCCCGGCCTGGCAGAGCACCAGCAACAGAACAGGTTCTCTGCATCGGCTCAATATCTTCGTACCCCGGACCAGACGGTATCATTGTCTGACATCCAAAAGACCTACCGGAGAACTCGTTGGCGACCAAAGATTCGTAAGCGTAAGCGATCGGGTTGACATAGTTGATCCACCTGAGCCAGCCCTTCATACTACGAATAGGTAAGACGAATCCAGCATAGATGACCAAGCCTATTATGAAGATGGCAGCGGGGACGAGGGCTTGATGGACCGTCTTGGAGGACTGGGCGATGGTGCGAAGGATCATTGACATAGTCATCGTAGTGGTAAAGCCGAAGAGGAGAAAAATAAAGAAAGCCGAGGCATCGCGACGGAGGTGCACCATAAAGTAGAGCGGAATGTTGAAAGCGAGAGTTGAGATTATCTTGGACGGTAAATCGCAGATGATGGAAGAGACAGACTCGGAAAGAGGTCGATATAGGGCATATCTTGCATGTTTCTCGACAATCGGTCGCTGGACATAGAGAGCCAGGATCTATCCAACAGTCAGTAAGAACAAGTCCATGGTGAAGTAGTTAACATACTTCCAGAGCACTGCTAAGGCCGTTGAATAGAATAGCGAAGAAAATCACCGAGGCTCGTCGGTTCATAGCGTCAGCAGTGCTGGGTAAGTCGAAATAAACACTACCAAGAACAAGTGACATGACAAAGTTGACTGCAATAGTAACAACGAAAAAGGTCTTGTCACCGAGAAGTCTCTTAACACCTCGACCAATACATAAATGGATCTGCATTGGGATCGAGATTGTAAAAGGGCTCTTGTCAGATCTTCAAAATAGGTCAGTATTTCAACATCTCAGTGATAGAAGGTGACGGACGTGAACTTAGCCTTCTGAGCTCTTCTGATACCCTTCAGCGTCTCAACTTGTTTCCCGTCGAGAGGATACTGGATCTCAAACGCAGCGATGTCACTGAGAAGTGATGACCTGTGTTGGCTCATTCTCCACTCATCGGCGAATTCATCGGGACTGCGGGGGACCTTATTCTCAAAACCAGGTCTCACGATGCGTTCGTCAGGGTTTGTGAGGGATGTTAGGAAGTCGGCAGTCGTTTGGCGGGGAGGACATTCGAAACCCATGGCGGTAAAGTATTGTGTCGCTTCGCTTGTTGGGCCGAAGAAGATCTGGCGGCCTTCGTAGAGGAGGAGGACCTTGTCAAACTCCTGTGGATGACAGTTAGACTTCTGTTAGGTGCTAGGGTTGAGGGGATACTTGCATCGTACGCTGCCTGGCTAGCCTGATACATCGCAACAACCGCACTAGCACCACCAAGCTTCGTCCCAAGCCTCAACTTCCTCACAAACTCCAGCGCCGTGGCACTATCCAACCCCCTCGTGCTATTGTCCCAACATTGAATGGCGCTCTGATTCAGAATCGCTTCTGCAATACTAACACGCTTTCTCTCACCGCCACTAACGCCTCTGATAAAGTCATCGCCAACCTTGGTGTTGAGCGTGTTGGAGATACCAAACATGGCCATTACGGCGTCTCTCATGTGTTCGGCGTAGACGTGACGGGATATGTTGGCGATGATGTGTTGGGGTGTGCGGGCGAGGGCGGCGAAGAGCAGGGTGTCACCGACGGTTAGTTGGGGGAAATGGATGTCTGTTTCGGCTTGGTAGATTACTTCTCCACGGAAGTTGCGATGCATTAGATCCCAGGGGATGCCTAGAAGATTAGACGACGTGAGACAGCATGATTGGGGGGAGGGTACCTTGGTAGTTGAACTCGGATGAGTCGTCGAGGTGTAAGCCGTGAGTATGCCCAGCGATCGTTTTGAGAAGTGTAGAAACACCACTGTAATTTTATGTTAGAATCACATTAGTGGTTACAATCGTTGATGACATACCTCCCCGGACGACCTAGCACAAGAAGCAACTCTCCGCTCTTGACCAAGCCATCAAAATCAGAGATAATCTTGACCTTCTGCTTCCTCTTCGCAAACCAATTCAACGCAGCAAGGGGACTTCTCCAGATAACATTAAGCACATCTTTCTGGAACTCGGTTGGATCGCTGAACCCATGCACACTGAGATTTCGCCAGGATACACCAGCTGTATACCGCGGATGCTTGCTTGGGTCTTTGGAGAAAGTGTGAAGCAAGGCCTTGACCCATGATTCAGGCTCGAAGTCTGGGGATTTCGGGTCAAGGTGGGAGTCTTGGGCGAGGAATGGGTTGATGTTGGTTGAGAGCGCGGAGAATGTACGAGTCAGAGAGAATGTTCGGGCGAGTTGCAGCACTGGTTCGGCGGTGTCTTCGACGGCCGTCTCAGCCTCTGTGTCCTGGGGCGTAGAGGGGGGCGCAATTGCATACATCCTGAAGTAGTAACAAGCGAATATTAGATTAAACGAATGGATTGTGCTTTTCTTTGCACTCAACGAAAAACGAAGATGCAATCATGATTCATATATGGAAGTCTACAGAGTTAGCTGTAAGCGGCGTCATAGGAACCCACTTCTTCCTAATTTCCGAAACACGACTCCATTCATTCCAAGGCATATTTAATGCGTCATATGCGTAACGATATCTCAACGCCGTTCAAAATATCTCTATCCCGGTCTCCCACCAAGTCTTCACATGCAACTCCGTTTCAATCCCGGCACTAGCACAGAGCAGACACCATCTACTCCACTTCTCCCTCAATCTAAACCCAACAAGGAATGTCGGCGCCGAAACTTGAACCTCATTCTGATCCCTTAAACCTCCTCAACGCCGTGTCTCTTCTCCGTCATTACCTCTTCTTTAACTCGACTCTGTAACGGACTCTCCCAAAATGCCGCCGACTCCGCCTCTTTCCGAACGTCGACTCCGGAGTACCCTTACCTCCAAAGCGTGCGATTCTTGCAAGGCTAGAAAGATCCGCTGTTCCGGTGAGTAATGACTTGGGCTTGGAGTAGAGTTTGAGGCTGATTGTGCAGGTTACCCTCCGCCGTGCCAGAGTTGTACCGTGAGTGGATATCAGCCGCTGCAGGATGGTACTAATTATGACATGCATAGATCCGAGGCGCGATTTGTCGGTTTGGGACGCGCAAAATACCACGTAGGAAGAATGGTACGTGATCTCATCCATTCTGTCTTCTCATCATATCTGATACATGCTAGTGAACCGAGATATATTGATTACTACCGGCGATGCGTCTTCAAGCATCAAAGTCAAAGACGTCAGCCCTTCCGGGCCGAACCTCGCGGTATGTCTCGCTGGATTCTCTTCCAACTGGGCGCTTATCCGACTAGACTTATGCAAATCCGAAACAAGATATCGCCTTTCCTCCTATTCAGAATGACCTCTTTATAGATCGGATCTTGTTCGGATCATCATCAATGGACGTTCCAAATGCCGATGAACGATTCTCCCTAAAAGTGCGCAACATTTCTGAAGGCGACGTCCAAGACTAACTTTTCAACAGGGGATTGGCCTTCTGAGTACGTCTTTCAGCCCTCCCAGCACGCGGCTTTCGCTCACCATCTACAGGTGGTACTCATAGCGTCACGTTCTTCTCCGACAGTAGACTCGAGACGCTTTCTGCCAAGCTTCAAAATAACAAAGTCAATGACCTTATTCGGCGAATGTCCTCGGTCATCAACAGCAGGGCTAAGATAACCACCAGTACCTCGCCTGAGCATCTACCTGAGCCAGGCCTTTCATCGTTGGATTATTCATCTGCTGCAAAATACATAGCTAGTAGGCCATCTACACTGATATGAGGTGAATCAAGTTGACCTAATTCACTGCAGTATACTATGAACAAGTCCATCCTCTCTTTCCTCACCTAGATCGGGAGACTCTCGACTCCACTATTGCAAGCCCTAACTTCAGCACAATCCTCGTCAACGACACAGCTTTCTCTGCTCTATATCACTCCGTGCTCGCTCTCGGTAGTCTGCATGATGGCGGTGGAAGTTTTGAGCCTGGGAAAGGAAAAGCATGGGAATTACTCTCCCTCGCATTAGCCAAGGTGCCCGATCTCCCCAAGGCCAAGAACTCACTGGTCGCTCTTCAGGCAATAACAACAGTTGCTGTCTATTGTTTAGGAGTAACGTGTATATCCATCGAGCATAAGATCATGACGGAGATGGCTCGTATGGCTCAAGATCTAGCACCTTCCCTTTGTAAAAGCCCCTACTCAAAGGCGTTCTACAGGGTATTCTGGGTCGTTTACGTGATAGAGAAGATAATGAGCTTCCACTTTGGCCGCCCTTCGGTAAGTTATCTCATGATGCTCCTGGTCCTCCAACTCACTTTCACAGGCTATCATCGACGCCAATATCATTGTGCATATGCCTTACATGCCCGAGTCTCATCTCGGAGCCTTAAATTGGGCGCACATACTCGCCCAGCAGAGCCGTCTTTTGTCACGAGCGATGAATACCCTGTTCTGTCCCGGGCTCTGTCATAGAGGATCGCAGTACTTTCTAGTGACGATTGATCAACTTCTTGAAGATCTTGAACAGTGGAGAGCATCTATAGCAGAAGAATTTCGCCCAGGATATCCGTCGCAGTTCAATTTGCTCCGTAGGCCTATGCACGGTACAGTTGGGATTTGGATCAACTATCTCTACTACAGCCTTAAACTGATCTTGCTCCGGAGCAGGCTACAGATTGACAGCTACCAAGGCAACGGATTAGGCAAGATAAGTCATAGTGATCAGCTCATCGAAGTTTCTCGATCCGTACTTGAGATTGTTACATATGTTGACGTCGAGCCCTCAACACCACTATGGTCAGTCCACTGACATGCATAACCACCCTAGATACTAACCAATTTTCAGGATCATTGCAGCTATCCCATTGTGCGCTCTCTTTGTTCTTTTTGACCACGTCATCAGCAACCCCAAGTCCCCAGACACAAGAAGCAACCTCGCCCTACTCGATATCGCCGGGGGACATTTCAGTCGCATTGAGTTTGCGAGTGGAGGAACGTTGCCTGGCTCGCTTATCAGCGAGTTTACATATATCGCGCGCGAATACATCAATCAGTGCGACAACCAGGACTCACTAAAGGAGGCCCAAAACATGATTCCCTCTGTAAACCATGATACCTCAGTGGGTGAATCTTATACTTCTGGAGCGAGCCACAGTCTCGAGCAAGAGGTAAGTCAATATCTCAACACCCTCCTTCTGGATCTAACGATTGCAGTTTGAGATGGCCCAGGCTACAGTACTAAACTCTACGTCGCTGATGGATCCTATATATGCACCGATAGAAAGCCTATGGGACAGTGGAAATGATCCATTGTATGGTATAGATGTGATGAACCTTTTTAACAGTATTATGTAAGAGGTATCTGCGAAAGTATATAGTGCTCAATGGGCGAGGTGTCTGATGATTAGAGATTAGATAACAGAGGAACCCAGGCTGGCTCCAGGGAATTTATCCTTGATTCCATCCTCAAAGTTTTGTCCACCAACAGTCAAGTCCTTGAAGGCCGGGCAAGCGAGGTTCAAGAGTGTAGATCCAAGAGCATCGGTGATGAGTTCTAGAGGAGTTGCGATGATAGAAAAGATGGTCGAAAGAGAATTTGGCGCAACCGTTTTGACAATCTCAAAGACGAAGCAAAGCAGGTTGTTGCCCTCGAGAAGCTTGGTGAGATTGAGAACTCCGCCAGTGACGTTGCTTACGTCGACGCCAGCGTAGCTGTTGACTTTTCCCATGTTGCCTCCGATGCTGTACTGGTTAGCACATGGTTCCAGCTTCGGTATTGAAGACTAACCTTCCGAGCTCAGGGTACTTGGTAACCAGGTTGAGAAGATCCAAGTTAAGACTGATGAGACCATAGTCGATTGACCTGCGGTACCAGTTCTCGGGAATTCTTTCCCAGCCTCGCTTATACACAAGCCTTCCGTCCTTCTCGTGAACAGCGAAGAAGCTCTTTAGAGTCTCACGGTCTATCTGTCATCAGCAAATTGATTGTAAGTTCCGAGGCACCTTACTTACCCATGATATCCTCAGTGCTTCCAACAGTATGGTTCGACAGCAACCGACAAGCAAAAAAGTAGCCTGCATTTCGCGCAATCATACCCGTAAAAGGTCCATAGTAAAAGTTCGGATTGGTAGCAACAGTCTCATGGAATCGGATCTTGGCTCGTTTCGCAAAAGCGTCAAAGTCATAAGTACCCTCCTCAGAAGCCATGTCGTAGAGCGACTGAAACAGGCTCATGTCCATGGTAGACGCATCTCCAGTGACGTACAAGTCATCTCGCGTGTTGGATGAATCACCTTCGATAATATTATGCGATCCATTGAGACCTCGTGGTGTTCCCAAGAGTCCGACGAGGTTACCCAGAATATTCTGTGCGCCACTGGCAGTGCTACCGATGGAGAAGCCTGGGTTGAGCGATAGAGGGTTTCCAACGAAGACTGTACCCATTGTCGCCAAGATGGTAGCCAAGTCTACTCCCATTCCATAGACTTGATTGATAGCACCCGCTACCTCAACGAGGCTTGTAACTCCCTTGCGGCTGATATATCCATGGTTCGCCAGCGCATTGAGACCAGGACAAGGACCTCGTTGATCACCCTTCTCAAAGTTGGGTGGGATGAATTCGTGCTCGCCAGTTACCTTGATAGGCTTGCTCGCGAGACCAAGCGAAAGTCTCTTATCGTGACTTCGAACTGCATCGTTCACTTTCCCCGAGAGTCTTGCAGAAACGACCTTTCCGACAGGACCTTCGAGGTATGATGGAAAGCCATACACACCAAGGCAGAGAAAAAAGGAAAGAAAGTAATGCCACTGCATGATGAGTAGCTAGCTTGTAAATGAGCGTAACAAAAAGAGTGTGAAGAAAGTAAAAAATGCCGAGAGGATTGGAAAAACATACGATATGTTTGGCTAGTTAGCTTCTTCCCTATCTACCCTTATTGCGCAATCATATTCCGGCCCGTCAAGATTAAGATCTACTTCCCCTCTCCTGACAGGCTGCATACCGCCTTAGCCGCAAACCACGGAACCGGGACAAGCATGCCGGTAGGTGGAAAAGTCAGCCACTTTCGGTAATTGTTTTGAAACACCACTTGGGTCGAATTGGGGAAGCAGTCCCCGCTGAGTAAAGACTTTTGCCTAAAGGGCGTTGGCCGTTTCACGTTTTCTCGTTTGAGTTCCCCGATGTGACGCTGGTTTATGAATGGGGATAAGTTTTTGTGAAGTGCCGATTTGTGGTTGAAAGCTAAAATAACGCATGACATTTGTGTCTTAGATGGTCTATGCAAAGTGGTCAAGCAATTCAGTCTGTGCCATGCAAGTCTGTGCGAAGTACGAGTCAGCGCAAATTGCCTGGGAGCTGTCGTGACATGTACAGTATGCAGGTCAATTTTGACAGAATGACCCAAATCGCTGGGAATCACGCAAGCGAACTTGGCATTTTCCCGGCGGAGAGGAACCAGTGGAACTTGCTCAATCAGTCACTCCCACCTCACCAGGGTCAACCTTCTAGACAACGCAAGGATACCCTACCCCGACTAAATTATCGCTCTGTTGATCACCAAGCATCCCCTGCTCAGAAAAAGCAAAACTCGGGCAAGTTTTCTCTCGCTAGCGAATTGTTCCAGCGAACTTGAGCTATTCGCTGGGTCGTATGTTGAGATTGCCGACTAGCTTGCGAGCTGCTCATGGAGTAGAGTATCATCGGTTGAGGCAACATAATCCAGGCAAACATTGATAGCAGAACCGGCTCTTTGGCTCGGTGCTGATCTCCCCCAAACCAGGATATCCTGTACCGAAACATTTCTCATCACTTTTTAACATGTCGTTTCCTCTACTGCACGTCGATGTTTTAAGCTGATTTGAAAGGGACCAATCCGCCCGGCGTCTCCGACCTGTTTCTTCTCTCTTTCTTTTTCTGTCATTCTTCGCCCGAGGTAAACTGCCCAAACCGTTTATGGTCTCTTTATCCGGTGGCATGAAGGTCCTTGGCTTGCTGGCACTAGTGCTGGCTTTATTTCAGCTTGGTGTATCGGCCGCCGCGGCGCCCGAAGAGCCTCCAACTTGTGGTGTTGGTGAAGCTTTTCCGCTATCGAGATATGTATAGCTAACTCGTCGGGTAGGCACTCTGCATTCAGAGTGAAGCGATCAAGTCGCCTTGTGGTCTGAACGTTACGTGTATCTGTACAAATGTTGAGCTTAATGAGAAGATCTCAGCATGTGTTGCTGCTAATTGTACGGTGAGGGAGAGTCTGTGTAAGTTTGTTCTCAGCTGTCCCGCGCTGTCCCACGGGTTACTGATTGAGTGTTTAGTGGTTCAAAGTTACTCCAAGCATACTTGCAACGCGCCATCTCGCGATCGCACAACGCTGGTATGGGTTATCGGTATCGTCTTTCTTGTTCTCGGCCTCATCGGCTTTGGTCTGCGTGTCATGGCCAGAGTGTTTGTCGTTAAGCAAACATGGGGATCCGACGATTGGGTCATGCTCTTCGCCGTGGTATGTATCTGTATCGCGCCCTACCTCTTCAACGCAGCAGCTCACCATCGTATAGGCTCTCATGATACCGCTCAACGCATTGTCTGTGCAGAGTAAGTCCATACTTGTTGATTGCCTCGATTTGCTGCTAATCAGATGGCAGTCTCACGCGTTGGACTTGGTAAAGATATATGGAACGTTCATCCCGACGATATCACCGATTTTCTTTACGTGAGTCCCATCTCCCTCCACCACATTCACCTTACTGACCCCAGATCAGCTATTCTACTGGGACGAGCTTCTCTACCTTGGAGCCCTCCCCGCTACCAAGATCTCTATCCTCCTCTTCTATCTCAAAGTCTTCCCTGGCAAGAATATCCGACTGGCATGCTGGATCTTCATCGGTCTGAACGTCGCATACTTCATCACGTTTGAGCTCATTTCCATCTTCCAATGCAGACCAATTGAGGGCGCTTGGAGGGCATGGGACAAGGAGTTCAAGGCCAAGTGCAACAACATCAACCTGCAGGGCTGGTTTGCAGCGATTTTGAACATCATTCTTGATGTTGGAACGATGGTCATACCGTTGAAGGAGCTTTATGCACTGTCGATGTCGCTGAAGAAGAAGATACAGCTCATGCTCATGTTTAGCATCGGTATCTTGTAGGTTTCCCTTCCCAATGCCATTTCTTTCGCTAACATTTTAGTGTCACGATTGTCAGTGCAGTCCGCCTTCAATCTCTGGCAAGCTACGCAACCACCAGCAACGTGACTCGTACGTCTCCACAATCCCCTCCCACTTTCCGCCCTAACAGTATACAGAGGACTACGTCGAAATCGGGTACTGGAGCACAATCGAAGTCCCCGTGGGCATAATCTGCGCCTGCATGCCCGCCATCCGCGCGCTCTTCGGCATAATCTTCCCCAAGGTCTTTGCCTCCACGAACCGCAGCAAGAACAGCTACGCCAACATCTCGGAGTCGAAGCAACCGACCTCTGACAGAAAGGGCGGCAACACGCCGCAGATCACCATCGAGACGGAGATCTCGACAAGGTACTCGCGCCATCATGATGATTCTTCGGTAATTGAGCTCACGCACATGGGGAGGGAGCTGGGCCACGAGGAGAGTGCGTGGACGGATAGGAGGCCGGCTGTTCCGTCTGAGCCTGTATAATGTCGATCATCGTGTCATTTGATGGACCTGGAAAAGTTAGTTAGTGCCTCACTGCCTACTATTTAGAATTTTAGAAGAACTGAGAGTTCTTTGTCGTTGATTATGTTATGCACTAGTGACTACGTCTAAACCAAAAGGGTTGTTGGGGCAGAGGTTATTGTTGAGGCTTGTACGTTTGTAGCTATGATCGTCCGGGGAAATGTTTCACTAACTGACACCGTTGCACAGACGGGACAGCATGCTTGATCCCCGTAGTCTAGCTCAACGGTCAGCCCTGCTGTAATGAAAGAGCGATATTAAATGTCCTAGATTGCGAATATCGCCATTCACGGCTCGGGCAGATCTCAAAGTCTATGAAAATGTGTTACCTAAAGTCTGTTATTTTTGGCACCCTCTCATTTCACTTATACCGCACTGCATCACCCATTTCACGACAATGGTGTCATCAGTTTCACTTGTCAAGATTACAGGTGGAATCTCCGCACCTTAGCCGATGCTAGACTGACAACGTTGCCCTGTCACTAACCAAATACGACGGCATTTCAAGTTCCCTTTCCCCTTCTGCCCAACTCCACCGCGATTACTACTGTAACGCGCGAGTACAACCTTATTAGCCCAGGGGCAACGAACCCAAGGTCTCCGCGTTGAGTTACTTCGCCTATTTGCTTTCTTTTTCTCGGGCTCCAAAACGTTTCCGTCAATCTACTGCATCGATGCGCACTGAATCCTTTGCCCGTCCTTGATAAGCGGAATCGATCAGAAGTCAAGTTCCGCTTTCATACAGACGTTTCCATCCGGATGTGCAAGGCCGAATGCGTTGTTCTGTTCCTGGAATACCTCCTGGCGATCGTTTTTACAGGCGGGGTTTGGTAGTATTTTGGGCGGCAGGGACCTAATTTCTCCTCTTTATTATCTACCTGGCAGGCACGGCATTTGGAATTCTTGTTTCATGCTCTAGAAAGCCGTCCATTCATTCTATTCAATCTTTTGGGTTTTCTAAGTACTTGGCGCTGAGTAGCCAAGATGCGTTTGTCATTCGTTATTACTTGCATTTCTGTTCTGGCTGATTCAGCCTCTGCCTTGTAGGTCCCCCAGTCTCTCAATTACTGCATCATACTCACATTGGCAGTTCTGTACCATGGAGCTCTTCCCCCAAGTCGCATAATCCTTTCATCGGCAAACGCGATACCGGCGTTGAATACGACTATGTAGTCGTCGGTTCTGGTGCAGGTGGCGGCCCTGTCGCCGCCAACCTCGCTGTTGCGGGCTTCAAAGTCCTTCTCATTGACGCCGGTGGTGACTCTGGCGATGATTGGGTTGAGAAGGTTCCCGCCTTGCATCTCATGTCGACTGAGTTCGAGGACACACGATGGAACTACTTTGTCAACCATTACCCTGACCCCAAGCAACAAAAGAAGGACTCAAAGATGGTTTACCAAAAGACCGATGGCAGCTACTACGTTGGACTCACCCCACCTAATGATGCAAAGCCTTTGGGTGTTCTTTATCCTCGTGCTGGTACTCTCGGTGGATGCACTCGTCACAACGCCCTGATCACTATCGCCGCTCATGACAGTGACTGGTCTTACATCGCCAGCCTTACGGGTGATGACTCTTGGAGCCCTGACAACATGCGGTCTTACTTTGAGAAGTTGGAGAAGAACATGTATCTTCCCAGCAGCATCATTGGTCACGGTTTCAATGGCTGGCTGGGTACTTCTCTCACTTCACTGTCCTTGGTTGTCGAGGATCAGAAGCTTCTATCTTTGATCATCTCTGCTGCTTCAGCCATGGGCAAGGGCCTTTTGGGATTCGTCTTGAACACTGTCGCAGGCCTTGGCCAGGTCTTGCTTCGTGATCTTAATGCACCAGGTCAGACTAGCAAGACTGGACTTTATCAGGTCCCGCTGTCGATGGCTGACTCTGTTCGTGGTGGTCCTCGAGACTTTATCCTCAACACTGCCAAGGCTGTCAACAAGGATGGATCTCGCAAGTACCATCTTGACATCAAGCTCAACACCCTTGTAAGTTCCTTATTCCATACACTTTACTACTACTTACATAGTTGTAGGTCACCAAGATCAACTTCGACAAGAGCGGTTCCAAGCCCCGTGCCGTCGGTGTCAACTACATGCAAGGCGCAAGCCTCTACCGCGCCGATCCTCGCTCTGGATCAGCCAAGCCCACTGGTACCGGCAGTGTCAAAGCCAAGCGCGAAGTCATCATCTCCGCTGGTTCTTTCAACACTCCTCAGCTTCTCAAGCTCAGTGGCATCGGTCCCAAGAAGGAGCTTGACTCTTTTAAGATTCCTGTGCTGGTTGATCTTCCTGGTGTTGGGACCAACATGCAGGATCGGTATGAGAATACTGTGATTGGCAAGACTAACAGCGACTTTGTCATCACATCTAAGTGTACTTTCCTTGAGACGATGCCGGATCCTTGTCTGGAGCAGTACAAGAAGGGTCTGGGTCCTATCACCAAGGGCGTGTATGCGACCAATGGTATCGCCATCGCTGTTGTCCTCAAGTCCTCTGTCGCTGAGGATGAACCTGATCTTCTCATCTCTGGCGCCCCAGCCAAGTTCAAGGGCTACTTCCCCGGCTATGCCGCTGACTCACTCGCCGATGCCGAGCACTGGGCCTGGATCATCCTCAAGGCCCATAGCCGTAACAACGCTGGTACTGTCACCTTGAAGTCCACTGACCCACGCGACATGCCCATCATCAACTTCAACTACTTCGACACCGGCGTCAACGCAAACGGAGAAGGTGATAAGGATCTCCAAGCCACCTACGAAGGCTTCGAGTTTGCTCGCAAGGCATTTGACGACTTGATCCCTCTTGACGGCGAGTTCCCTGAAGTATGGCCCGGAAGCCAGACAAACAATGAGCAAAAGGCGAAACAGTTCCTCAAAGATGAGGCATGGGGCCATCACGCTTCATGCACTGCTGCTATTGGTGCTGATGATGATCCTATGGCTGTGTTGGACTCTGAGTTCAAGGTTAGGGGTACTGAGGGTCTGCGCGTTGTTGATGCTAGTGTTTTTCCTAAGATTCCTGGTTTCTATATCGCGCTGCCATTGTACATTGTTGCTGAGAAGGCTAGCGATGTTATCATCAAGGCAACGAAGAGCTCTTAACTTTTATTACGGCACATCGGCGAGATACCTAACTTAGCCTACACCAAGCGCGTTACTTTCGCACCACGTGTCTACATAGTGATCAATTTAAAGATGTATTTAATTCTTATATAATAAGTATATAAAAGCCTTTCTAGTACATCGTTTCAGTGTAATCCTGGTGTTGAAAGGCACCAGCGACATGCTAGTAACGATTACGATAAGCAAATGACGAGTTCATATCAACCTTCTGAAGTCTTCAGCACAAATTTAAGTAATGCTCTACCACGCAAACCTGTTTCCTCATTCTCCGATATCTGGCAGCTTCTCGGAACAAGCACGAAAGAACCTTCCACGCGGCCCTAGATATCCATCAATCGCAACCTCGTCATCTCTTTCATCGTAGCATTTGCCAGGAGGTTCCGGCATTCTCAAAAACCAATACTCCTGCCACGTTTGAGACCATCCTCGACGGATTTCAAGCTCTGCATCAAGCCACGCCCTGTTCAAAAAAGCTTTTTCTATTTGCTGAATATCATTGAGAGTCGGGAAGTGGGTAACATGCTTTGGATACAGCCTATCGTCGTCGAATAGACCCCAGGCTCGTTGTCGGTAAGTACGAAGCTGGATTCCGTGCAGACTAAGACAACATGAACCGTGCAGATAAATGATGTCTCTAGCTGAGTACGTAATGACTTCGTCGTCTTCTGGGTTATTCTCCGTCTCTTTGAGCTGCCGCTGACTTGACTGTAGTCGATTGTAATTTTCAAGATCCCTATTGTCGACGGTCGCGGGGAATAGCCTAGGCCATGGAAAGAAGCAATGTAAACGCAAAGTCCGCAGCCATATTCTAAGAATAGGTATACGTGCTGGATCTTTGCTTATAAACATGAGGATTTGACAAAGATAGTCTAGCCCGAAACAGGGAAGCCTCCTCTGGAAATCGTTTGCATATTCATCTAAACCTCTCTCATATGCTTTCGCGTCAAAGCAAATGTTGTCAGGGAATATTAATCCGTGCCGAGAAGATGATGGAGCGGTTGTATTAGGCAGCGTAGCGGAGTCCAATGTCGATTGCCTAGTCTCGGAAGGCAATAATGGTTGGTCGGGTTGGCCGGATCGATGGGGTAACCAGGAGTCATGGCAATGTGCAAACAAAGCTCCGCATACTGCACCAGTCAAACTAGAGAACCTGACGGCTGTGGTATCTAATCTCTGCCCCTTGAAATAACTTCCAGAACCGTTGAGGAGGTCCAGAGTGCCAAGGTAGGCTAGTGGAGGACATTCGCTTGTTGCTTTTGACACGTAATCTTCGATAACGATGATCATACGAGAGATTATGTGCCATAGTGCCTCAAGCTGCTCGAGATCCAAGGTGTCTGGCAGCTCCATGGTTTTCCACATCTCGATTTGCCGGTACCTTTTGGCAGAAGCTTTATCCGAGATCTAGATGATTCCTAAGGCATCTCGAAGGAGGTCGCCGGAGGTGTCTCCATTTAAGATGCCGTCCATGATGCAGCGCAGGATACTTTTCTTGTAAGCAATGAAATGCCAAAGCATCGATGCAGATGCTTGGATTACTTACTTGACGCCGATATCAGACTGGAGATGCACAAAGATCTCAGTCTGGACGAGTGATGGGAGTATAGAGAATGGATCCATTGTTGTGATGTCTGAGGTTGGGCGAAAAGGTTGCGTCGTGAGGTTGATCGTTGAGGTGGTGAGGAGAGTGAAGACTAGAAGCAATGGGTCGAGACAAGGGCGTCTTTGATAGTCCGAGGATAACTCTACTGGATAAGTTTTTCAATGGCTTGACTCACTTCTTTGCATAGACTTCCACAGGGGCAAAGTCAAATCGGAGAATATAGAGGTTTTATCCAGCCGGCTTTTATGGGATGGTACACTTTAGCGCGGACACCAACCTTGGGGCTCTTATTTCTAAATTATAACATTTAACCTTCAAATTGTAAAGGGTTAGGAATGTAAATAAACCTGGAGATTAATTATGGGCAAGGGACCGGAGAAATTTTAAAATAAGCTTAAAAGCTTAGTAAATAAGTTAACTCTAGGATTCAGTTACTAAAGTCTAAGGTAACCTTGCTCCTCGAGAGCATGGACCTACTCTACCCTTAATAGGTTGGACCCAATAATATAATTATGTAGATCTTCCTTAATGTTCCAGGCCCTCCTCGGGGAGCGAGAACACTTAGGACTTTAGACAGTATCCCAAAATAAAGTTAGTAAAGAGTCCCCTAAGCTCAGCTAAGTTACTTAAATCCATATTTTCATCGCTCAGGGTCAAGGTCCTAAGGTTTCTTGCCTCCCCTAGAACCTGTAGGGGAATCTCCATAAAAAGTGCCAGGGGAATTGGCTCAGCGATCCGATGACATTCGTTGTTCACTCTGACGTCAAATTGATACAACCCTTATTCGTCGTCAAGGGTCTTCGCCGAGATACATCCTGGTGACGACATACCATATCAGATAAGCAGAAAAACTACTATCCTAATCTTTTGAGCCTCACCTCAGAAGTTCTCTTGTTTACATCGCGACGTGATAGTAACCCTTTTCCGCGGCCTTCGACAAGCTTTCCAGCTATCACGACGAGCGCAAGATTTGCCACAACAGTTCATCATGCCAGAAAGGCAAATAGCAAAGGTAGATTGGATGGCTTTTGGGTCACATAGTTCTTGCTAATAGTATTATGAGCAGATCGGTATGGTGGGAATGGGCAGCATGGGCTCCATGATGTCCCTCCTCTTTGCCGAAAAAGACTACAAAGTCTACTACTACGACATCAGTACGTAACATAGCTCACCGTAACTTATAAGCACTGATCAATTTCAGGTGAATACAATATGAAAGCAGCTGAGAAAATGGTCAAGGACGTCAACGAAGAAACTCGAGTCTTTCGACAACAAAGCTATCAACAACTCTGCGAAGAGATCTACTCCGAGAACCACCCACGCATCATTATCTTCAGTATTCCACACGGAAATCCCGGCGATGAATGTGTCAAGGCTCTACGGCCGTATATGACGAAGGGGGATATCATTCTCGATTGTTCAAACGAGTTCTACGGCAACACGGAACGACGACAAGCGGATCTTGCAAAAGATGGCATGTTTTATGTCGGATGTGGCGTCTCAGGCGGTTATCAGAGCGCACGAGCCGGCCCGTCAATGTCACCAGGCGGCGACCCCCAAGCCCTCGAGATCATCATGCCCCTTCTCAGGAGAGTCGCAGCAAAAGATCACGATGGTAGACCATGTACCTGCCCAATTGGTCCAGGCGGTTCAGGCCATTATGTCAAGATGATTCACAATGGAATCGAACAAGGCATGATGTCAGTTATTTCCGAAGTTTGGGACATCCTCACCAAGGGTCTTCAGCTCAGCTATGAGGAAGCAGCTGGTGTTTTTGAGCAGTGGAACCAAACAAAAGAATTGTATAATACGTTTCTGATCTATATCGCTGTTGATATCAACAGGACCAAGGATGAGGAGGGACGATATGTTCTGGGGAGGGTTCAGGATAAGGTGGTGCAGGATGTTGATAACACTGAAGGGACGGGGACATGGTCTTGCGAAGAGGCGGTGAGACTTCACGTCCCTGCCGCGAATATTGTCAGTGCGCATTTGTTCAGGTGTACTTCTGCAGAATTGGATCAGCGCGCGGCTGATGCTGAGGCCTCTGGACGTCGGCAGTCCTCAGCGATGAAAGTCCCTTCGAGAGATGAGTTTATCGAAGATCTCCGAAAGGCGACGTACTTCTGTCTATTGCTGTGCTTCACGCAGGGTCTGCAGATCATTCGTGAAATGGATCAGCAGCGCGAATGGCACATCAACTACCAAGACCTACTACACGTCTGGAGCGCCGGGTCAATCATTCAAGCAGGAGGTATCATGGACCTTCTTCACAAAGTCTACAGCAAATCCCCCAGCAAGAACAACCTCTTATCTAACAGCCAACTCGAAAAACAACTAACCAGCCTTCTCCCTTCAATGAAGCGATGCATCATCACAGCGTTGGAGTCCGACATGGTCATCCCCGCCATGAGCCAAAGTCTAGAATACTACAAGTATTCAACTTCTGTGGATCTGCCCACTCAATTGACAGAAGCAGAACTGGATTACTTTGGCAATCACAAGTTCGATCTGAAGGAGGAACATAGAGGCGAACCAAGCAAGGGAAAACACCACTTCGAATGGAAGCCAGCGAAAGGCGAATCCGACAAGTCGCGGCTTTGAAGATCTTAGAATAGCCTTAAACATCGAGAAATCTTCCGACGTGGAATCAGAGTGCCAAGATCAACAAGTCTAAAGTCTTGATGAGTTTTGCTAAACTTACGGAAGTCTGTTCATCACTTAGAAAAGAGGTCCCAAGCTTTCTTACCTCCCCTTCAACAGTCCCCGAATAGTCTCCGTAATACAATAAGCACTTACAATTATCTCGCGAGATCATCATCTCGGCTCGGAGATACCATCGCGTCTTCGCATCTTTATAAAAACCCTGAGAAACTTTTGCTGACATCTCGGGCCGCGATCGGCATTCCCGTGCCGATGAGGTTATTCACAGATTATTCCCGGGAGTCATCACTGCGCCAACTTATCCACTAACGGCTATCCATATCAGGAACAGCGAAGAAATTCTCCACACAACTCGAACAAGAAACAAGTAATGACGTAACTAGAACGGTCACTTTACCTTGTTGACCGAAATTCGTTGCCACCTGATGAATTTTGCCATGAGAAATTGAGTTTTGCGATTGCTCGGCGTTAGGACTAGTCGCCGAATCTCGCACCGATCATTTCTGATAAAAATACACAACGTTCCTCTTCATCACCGTCTTTTCAAACCAAGCCAGTTTTAACTAGTTTGTAAATTTATGGATTAATCATGGAGAAAGTCGAAACTTCACATTCAGATCACAACGATCGTCGAGAATCTCACACTTCATCCCATAGCGACGAAGAATCATCCATATCGTCTTCTTCACACCACAACCATCAAAATGACGACATTTCGCGGACGTACTCCCTCGGCGACACAGAATGGCAGAGCATTCGTGCGCCAAACACGGGAATGAGCATGACGAGAACTGTTTCGCGGCGAGAATCTGTTTTATCGAGGATTCGATCACGGCCTATCCCACAGTTTACGCATCCTCTTGCGCATGTCAAAACTACAGAGGATCAGCTCGTTGATTTCGACGGGCCTGATGATCCGTACAGACCGATGAACTGGCCTAACAAGAAGAAGATCCTGACAACGATGCTTTACGGGTTGGTTACAATGTCAGCGACCTGGGCGTCTTCCTCGTATTCGTCTGGTACGGCACAAGTAGCGGCGCATTTCCATGTCGGAACACAAGTCGCTACTCTCGGCACAACACTCTTCCTCGTGGGCTTTGGAATAGGGCCTTTGCTCTGGGCGCCGTTGAGTGAAGTCTACGGACGACGACAAGCGGTTCTTATTCCCATGTTTATAGCGATATGCTTCAGTTTCGGAAGTGCAGTCGCAAAAGATTTCCAGACGTTGATGATCACGAGGTTCTTTTGTGCCTTCTTTGCTTCGGCGCCTGTTACGAATACAGGTGGTGTTTTGGGGGATTTGTTTCTGCCCTCAGAGAGGGGGATTGCTATGGCGGGGTATGCTATGGCTGTTGTTGGAGGTCCTGTTCTCGGTAAGTCTGACTTTTATAGTTTGTGAGGTTAGTCTTGGCTGACGGTTTTGTCTTAGGTCCTATTGTTTCAGCTGCTGTTGTGCAGGACCCGAGTTTGGGCTGGAGGTGGACTGAGTATCTTACTGGTATTGTTCAGATCATCTTTTTGACGTTGGCTGTTATCTTTGTTGATGAGAGTTATCCACCAAAACTTCTTATTTACAAAGCCCGGAGACTACGTCACGAAACAGGCAATTGGGCCCTTCACGCGAAATTCGAAGAATGGGATGTGAGCATTCAGGAACTCGCACGAAAGTTCTTGGTCAGACCCGTTCAGCTCCTCATGACGCCCATTTGCTTCCTCGTCGCTCTATACGCTAGTTTCTGCTACGGTATTCTCTACATGCAACTTGGCGCTATTCCCATTATCTTCAGAGAGATCAGAGGCTGGGGCATTCTAGTATCCTCACTGCCTTTCATCTGCATTCTCCTCGGAGCTATTCTCGGATGCGGAGCGAATGTGTACAACCAGCTCCTCTACAACAAAGCCTACCACGCCGCTGGAAACCGTGCTGTTCCCGAAAAACGCCTTCCCCCAATGATGGTCGGCTCTGTGATTTTCAGCGGCGGTCAATTTCTCATCGGATGGACTGCCGAGAAGGACATTCACTGGGTCGTTCCCTGCATTGGTCTCGTCTTATTAGGAACAGGCTTCTTTACCATCTTCCAAGCCGCGCTGAACTACCTGGTCGATACGTTTACTATGTACGCTGCCTCGGCTGTTGCGGCTAACACATTTCTCAGATCTTGTTTCGCGGCTGCTTTTCCGCTGGTGGTTGGACCTTTGTATCACAATATTGGTGTTGGACCTGGGTCTAGTATTACTGGTGGTTTTGCAGCGTTGTTGATTCCTGTTCCGTTTGTGTTTTATATTTATGGTAAGAGAATCAGGGCTAGGTCGAAGTGGTCGAAGGCTTCGGTGTATGACTAAAGCATCCTTGCTTAGAGAAGATATGAGAGATTGACAAAATAAATTTATAGATAGTCTAAGATTGCAATAATACCCAGATAATATACTAAACTCCGTACCCGTCTATGTTATGCTCCTATTTGTTTCCAACCTGTTTGTTCCATAATTCCTTGTACCTTCCGTCTATTGAGATCAATTCCGCGTGTGTTCCTGACTCAACAACCTGTCCATTGTGAATAACCAAGATCTTGTCCGCGCTGACAATGGTAGATAGTCGATGCGCAATAACGAATGTCGACCTCGCACGTTTCAACTCATCCAAAGCACCCTGAATACTTGACTCCGTATTCGTGTCAACTGCACTCGTTGCCTCATCGAGAATCAAGATTGGTGGATTCTTGAGGAACACTCGAGCGATTGCTAGTCTCTGGATCTCTCCTCCTGACAGCTTGACACCCTGCTCTCCAACCTCTGTGTTATATCCATCGACGAAGCTGAGAATTTTGTCGTGGATAGCTGCAGAGCGACAAGCAGCGTAGATCTCCTCGTCTGTCGCAGAAGGTCGGGCGTAGCGCATGTTCTCAAGGATCGATGCGTTGAAGAGAAGTGGGTCTTGAGGTACTACACCGAGAGCATTTCTCAGTGAGCTGAGAGTGATATCCCGGATATCATGACCATCAATGGTTATAGATCCCTCATCAATATCGTAGAACCGAAGGAGAAGCTTCATGATGGAAGACTTGCCAGCGCCTGTCTCTCCAACCAATGCAACAGTTTGTCCAGGCTCAACTGACAGCGATAAGTCCTGGACTGTTGGTTTCCGAGGATCATAAGAGAAACAAACATCATGGAACGCAACACGTCCCTCGACCTTCTCCAGATCCTTAGCACCCTCCTTGTCAGTGATAGTGGGCTTTGTCTGCAGCAGATAGAGCAGGCGCTCAGCATCAACCAAGTCTGACATGAGTTGTCTGTAACTATGAGACAAGAACTTCAATGGCCAGACCAAGTACTCCCAGTACTGAATGAAGAAGACAAAATCACCGGGCGATGATCCACCCTGCCAGACATCGTAAATAACAAGGCTCACCAGTGTGAAGAACGTACAGGGGATAAGAGCGTTAAGTAGCCCCTGGATATAGGCATCCCTCTTCTCGTAGTTCAGACCAGCAGATAATTGCTTATTGACAGCAGATCCGAAGCGATACTTCTCGTAGTTGAACATATTGAAGTATGTAACGGTCTGCCAGCCCTGGACAGCTTGGTGCATCACACGAACTTCTTCTCTCTTCGACTTTGTCGATTCTCGTCGGTTATCGAGGTTCCATCCTGTGGCTTTGACTTCAAACGTGACGAAGAGGACTGAGCCGATGGCCATTGCCAAAGCCACGTAGCTATTGAACTTCCAGTACAGAAATACAAAAGCGATAGCCAAATCAACGACAGTGGGGAGAATCTCGATGATAAGCATGTCAAGGACATTCGTCAATGCTTCACCCTGTTCAATAGCCTTCATAACCTCCGCCGAGTCACGCTCAGAGTGAAACTCCATAGGCAGCGATAGAACGTGGTTAAACGCTGCGTTCGTGAGAGATCGGTATGAGAACTGCTTAATCGGGATTTTGGCCAGGGACTCAATAAGTCCGACGACAACGTCGTGAGAAGCAAGGCTCATGATAAGCCAGATGAAAAGAGCGTGGAATGGATTTTGCTTGGCGAGGAGTTGATCGGCCACGATGCCTAGTTGACGAGGAACCAGGATGTTGAAGACTCGAGTAGCCAGGATACAGAATAGGGAGATTAAAATGCAGAGTTGGACTTTGCGGTCTTTCTTGGGGATCAAGAAGGGGAGGAAGATGGAAAAGTCGGAGAGGTAGCCTAGCCAGCCACCCTTCTCCTTGAGTTTCTTTGCGCGTTGGCGTTTGATATCGATTACATCTTCGTCTGATTCGCTGCCTGAGATGTACTGATCGTCATCGACCTCTGTGTCTGACGATGTCTCAGTACCGTAGCTTGGGCATGCTCTGCCGTTTGCAAGGCCGTTTGATTGGAGGAAGGGCTGCGATTCCTCTGCTTCTGAATCGGGGGTGTAGTATCTGCCACTGGTTGAGAGATGGTAGATCATGAGGAAAAGAAGAGGTAGGAGTCTGAACGTTTGAGAGGCGAGTTGCACAATATGATAGATATCATTCTGGCCGTTGACAGCGGAGAATATTTGCAACGGAATCTCGAATGCAAGGGTAATAAGCGATGTTCCGAGAACCAATAACCGCGGTGCAGTTCGCTGACTCCAGATAAACGCCCATACCGATAGGAGCACGACAAGGTGTATCGCCTCAGGCTCTTTACTCTGCTGACTCTCCTGCACAAAGGTCGATATACCCTCAGCCAAATACCCCAGGATCAAAAGCCCAGCAGCAAGACGATCATAATTCCGTGGGGTAGTTTTCCCAGTGGTACGAGCAGCGTTGAGAATAGTAACAACCGAAACAAACACTACAGCTACTAAGGAGCAGCTGTAGTGAAGGATATTTGAGACCTGAAGAATTGACGGCATTTTTACAAGCCGGGCAGGTAAGTGTAACAAGAAAAACGGTGTAATTTTATTTTTTGGATTAAAAACCGTCTGATCAAATCTTATATACCCAATTCCTCAGCCCTACGTGCAACGCAGCATGAAAAAGCCAAGGTCGCCTGCGGTCATTTGAGGCGCACATATTCGACACAGCCAATCGGCGTGGCTATGAGTCAATGCCACAGCGGGTCTCGCCACCAAGAGTGATCCCTTTGTGGTAATAAGTTTCGACGTGTTGATTGGCTACGGCGTATTCTGCTGTGGAGATCCCAATCGGTATGTACGGCAGGGTAACATACGGGAGGATGATTATGCTTATTATTGGTTTTGTATGACTTTGTATTGAGTCATGAGGATCCCACTGCCGAGGCTCGTGCTGCTTGATAGGTGAAGTTTGATGTTTTGCGGGATGGACGAGATGAGGTTTATTCCGGTGCCAAGAAGCGTGGGCATCACGGCGATTTCGACGGTATCCACTAGCTGAGCTTGCAGACATTGGGATGCGAGCTGACCACCACCCATAAGCCAGATATCCTTCCCGTCATTCGTTTTCAGGCGTCTGATGTAATCAAGCACGTTTTCATGTATGACTGTAACATCGGGAAAATGGTGCTGGTTCATGGTTCGACTGGCTACCATGACTGATTCTTTGGGGCGCTTTGATAGTGGATTGTCAGCGCCGAAAGATTGCATGACTTGGTATGTCTTGCGGCCCATGATGAAATAGTCGAATTCGGCATACAGCGCGGGGAAGTCTATCGTGGGATCCTCGATGATCCAGGTTGTTGAACCATCTGGTGGTGCGATGTACCCGTCGAGACTTGCTGCAACGTTATAGCGAAGGCGCGGCATGTTGGGCAGTAAATGATAAGACTGAGGTTGAGGTGAGATGAGATTATGTGCGATGGATGAAGGTGTTTATTTAGTCGGGTGAACAATCTCGCCGATTACGGGCTGGGCTCCAGAATGCTTGGCGTTCCAAAATATCGCCTACCTAGTGGCCGCCATCTAATTCTCAGATTTCTTCACATCAGGCTGTGTCGCGACCAATAACTCCTCTCTCAAAAGCCAAATAAGAGGAAACATGGTTCCCGGTCCAAGTAAACATCCCAGCACAACAGAAGCGCAGCCAGCTCGGATCCATGAAATACTGCAGACCCCAACATTCTCAAGGTCCTTGAAGTGATACGCCAACCACAGAAAGCCAGCTGAGTAACAGCAGATGTAATCGAATTGAATGACAGTTCGGAGTCCGAGGATTGGCTCTTGCGGCGTGTTGAGAAAGTGCTGAGGAATAAAGACCTCGAAGATGCTGGAGTCCATGTTGAGAATGGTATACCACCATGTTATCGTGCTTATGGTACTGATAACCCCAATCGTGAGTCGAATGGCATTAAGCTCTTGCCTCCATTTCCTTGGTGTCTGCTCTTTTGGTTGAGGAATGATCTTCGATAGCACAAGCATGATGATGGACCCCCAGATAGGAAACAGCTGCCAAATCCAATTCCACCAATTCCTCGCCTCAAGAGAAGGGTGAAAGAATGATGGAAAGTGCGTGACATAATATCCCAGCACAACCGTAGGCAAAAGGGCCATGCAAGGCGCTACACCAGGACGATACAGACTCGGTGTTGTAAGTTTGTAAGCAGGCGTGAAGATGTAGAACAAGAAGAAGAAGATTGGTGCAAGACAGCCTATGCCAAACATCTGGGACAGAAACAGAAATACAACAGGGCTGGTCATGTTAGGAAAGACATAAAGCTCTGGGGCATAGCTTACTATTTGATAACAGGAAACGTATTCCCCGGTCTATATCCCTCGATCATCACAACAGCATACATCCCCACAAAGTCCGTCAAGAACACCAAAAGCTGCCAATACGCTTCCTCATTCGTAAAGAACTGCAAATGCGCAAAGGCAACTGTAACAACAGCGAAAACATCATCTAGAACAGGTACGCCATAAAATTTCTTGATGATAGGCACGTTCACGTCTTGTGCTGTAAAGACGGAGGTTTTGACAGATCCTTCGATTATAGGACCGATTGGCTTCGCCATTGCGAAGGCGCGGGACATGACAGCTGAGATGAGGAGGAAGGGAAGAGCGTGTATGGCACGCCTGAGGCGGCTTTCGGGTGCTGAGGTGTGTAGTATCATGGTGATTGGGTTTGTGTGATTGAAGTGAAGATCGTGAGATGAGGGAATAAGGTGGGTTGATGTCTGAGATTAGGTTGACTGATCCTTGTAGTCGGCCCACCAACCGGAAGGATGCGAATCCTGTAGCCAATCTCCATAGGGACTACATACTTCTAATAGATTGGATGTATAAATCCGAGTTTCAATTAGCTACGTGAGTTTCTTCTTTGTTGTTAATTCAGGTCTTGGTTGTGCTTTTCGATTTGCTACTTGATTCCCCTGTAGGCTGTAGATACTAAAGAGATATCCTTGGAGGAACACCTAATAATGATATAAACAGCGCTTTATGGATGTTGATGCACGCTTGCTATGAATATCCTCAAGAAAGAACCACGCTTATGACCAACGCCGCCGCAATGACATACCCCAACACCGATTGACTCATCAACCTCACCGCATCGTCTTCCTCATCACCCTTAGAATCCGTCGAGTTATCCCCACTACCTTTATCACTTCCCTTCCCATCCCCTTTATCTTTATCACCCTTGTCCCTATAATCATCTCCCTTCTTCGTAGAGTTTCTCTCACTCGTAAAGTTGCCCTTCAAACTCATCCCAAAATTCGCCGCTGTGAAAGTAGCGTTTCCCCTTGACATCCACGTCTCCGTTCCAAACTCAATGATGCCTAACCATGGATCTTTCGGTAAATCATCTGCGTCGATTTGTTTGTGGGCTTGTTCGAGGATGTACTGAAATAACGGGTAGAAATCCTCATCGAAGGATAGTACGTCGCTGTTGTCTTTTGTAACGGCTGTAAAGACGTGCGTCCCTCCTGAGTTTCGGCCATAGAAGAGCGAGCTGCAGCAGTCAGTATGTATACTAGAGGATGAGTGGTGGACTTACAACTCCGTCTCCCCAAGCGTAACATTCGACAAGATACTATCATTCTGCCGTCCAAGCCACCACGGATCCCCCACCCTCCCCAACCAAACCATAAACTCCACCGCCGCAACCTGCGGATAGAGCGTTCTATTTCTATCATCATCCAGAAAGAAATCCCACGCCGCATTCGCCTGGACGCCCTCGCCCGCTAGTTCTGCTTTATTCTTCGCCCAGACCTCATTACTAAAATCATTCGGTGTTTTTGACAGACTTCCCGGCGTGTAGATCCAATCTGTTGATAAGTGGATAGACTCCAACTCGCTGAGACGGACGGGGAGGTTTGGGTTGTTGAAGCGCACGTAGGGAAAAGAGTGGACGTCTTGGATGTCCTTGGGCCAGTTCCACGTTGCGGAGAAAGAAGGCGTGCTGTTGTCGACTTTGAGGCATACGAAGCCGTTCTTGGGACTCTTTTTGTTCCATGCGTTTGGGTAATCTGCAAGTATCAGCGATGCTTCCGTAATCTCAAGGTGAAATTGAACGTACATGAGAGTGAGTCATTTAGTTCACCAAACCGCTGATTCCCACATACTCTCTTTACCTCTTCCTTCCCTAAGACCTCCGCTAAGAAAACCGCGTAGCTTACAACCGTCGTGACTTTCATAGTGAGGCCTCAATGTTGCAGTGAAAGAGACAGGGGTTCCATGCAGTGTTACAGTAGATGATCTAAACTTTAGGGGCTGGGCGGTTGGGGCGACAACCAGCTCAGCCTCAATTGACGGTTCGGGTTAACGGCAATGGATTTTACTTTGGAGAGACTTCTATACTTGTGAAAAAGATAGTTTTCATATACGAGAGGCGTTATGACGGTATGAGCGCTTACGTGGCAGATTTTAGGTGTGAAAAAGTCACGACGTCATGGGGTTTTTTGTGATCGACGCGTTGTGGGAACCATCGTAAGGTACCCGATTGTTTCGTAGATCACTTTACGCGTGTAATCTCACGATAGTCGTATAACTTGCATAATTTGCATATAATTGTCTAGATATGCTGGGACCAAACGCAAGCCCAAGTCGTTAACACCATGATTTCCCACTGTCGTCCGAAGTCTGCAGTTATTCCACTTCCTGTAAATGCCAACTCACCAATTTTCTTCAGTCCTAACGACTTGTGAGTTCTAAAAATAGCAACGATTTCTTCTCCGTCGTGAGGCTCAATCTTCAATCCGACTCTTACCAATTTCCATCCCCAGCCTGATGCTTCTTGTCCCTGAACTTGTTTCCCACGCGTCAAACACCATTCAAATCGCTCCAGATGGCCCTCAAGTTGCATGGCGAACCAATATCCTTCCTTCAATTTATTTATAGTTGTACACCGTAGTAATTCCTCACACGTATCGTCGCCTTCTAATAGTCCAGGGAGATTAATGCGAAAGTCATGCTTCCATTTTGGGTTTCCTTTGGCGGCCGCGAGGACGGGACTTGTTGCGTCTGGACCGTCGTAAATAATGACGTCGTAGGACCCGTTTGGTGGGACGTGAATTGCGAAATCGCGTTTAGACGCTGGATCAGCCAAGATGCATTGAAGCGTGAGCGATGCGCGCTTTGTGAATGAGGCTGACAGGTTGCGAGGGATGCCCTTGGCTGCTGTCTCTTGTGAGATATGGGGAGTGAGCGTTGAATCTTTCGATGAAGCGTTACCCATGGCTGTTTTATGCTTGAATTGTAGGATAATGACCAGGCCCTGTGTGACATTCCGATGGGCCGAGGTGTAGATAATAAGTTTACTCTGAGGAGTGATTCCTTATGTTATCCCTCTGTTGTTGCTCTTGCGCCTGTCGTATTTCGCATCAGTAAGCAACAACTACGATTCGCACCAATAGCGACGACATCTCTAACCACCTGCATCTAACTGCAGTAATCATTTGTCCGTACCATTTAACGGTATTATATGAGTCATTTTCTACAACCTATCAATTTGATCAGGCGACAGACTCGCGCTGAATACCATTTCTGCATCTCGGTGTTCAGCTTCAGGGTAAGCCGTGGCTAGTGGCTGTGGCCGTGCCAAACGTGGCTACTGTCTAGTCAACATCCACCTTGCCATTTCGGGTCACCCAATTGATCCCCACGCATGCAAGCATTACAACATCGACGACGAAGATTGCAATGCCAACACAGAAGCAGTTAGCGCTTCACTCTTCCTCCATGATCGTATGAATCTTCAGAAATGCCCGTTGACATCCTCTCGTGGCTGCGCCAGGTCGACGATACCGCACACCCTCCCCACGAGATCGACCGAGCGAAACCACCAAAAGCGACACAATCAAAGAATCGAAAGCGACAGCGCAGCTACAGTTCAACCAGCTCCGATCATAGACTAATCTCCAAACCTCCTGCGAATACGTTTAAACACCCAACAACACCTCCAGACTCTCCAACATCCTCCAAAGCAGGTGCCGAAATGGCACCAAAAAGAAACGAAGGACTACCAAAGGCACGGTGCCCAGCCCGAGTCCAAACGATGCACAATTCGACGATGAAGGCGAACAAGAAAAGACGCACAGGCCTTTACGGAGTGTCCATCTCCCCAGCGATACATCGTCAATGTCCTCAGCGAGCGGTCGGTCTGGTGCTTCATCGCCTCGAAAGCAATTAGCAGCCATGGCTCTATCCTCCCACGGCGTGGAAACGCGCGCCATGTCTGATCCGTCCGGTCTTCCCCCAAGTTTAGTCGATATGCGAACGAAACTACTCCAATTGAGCCGCGGAAGAGGTATTCTTGGAGAACGGGCTGGAGAGTATACAGGACGAAACAGCTGCGGGGCGTTGCATCCTGACATGGCTGCTATTTACGAGGATAAAGAATTCTGCTGCTCTGCGCGTCGCGACGAATTGGGGCTTACACCGAGTCCTGGGGACGCGGTGTATATTCTTGAATGCGCGGGCGATTGTCTCCGGATGGGGAGGTCTGAAGCGGCGTGGAATCATGAAGTTCACTTCCCTTTGCTCTGCTTGGCGCTTCGGAACCGATCAAAGGGTACTTTTCAACGTCTTGTCAATGTGAAATCTTGGTAAGTTCACTTCACCATATGCTGCACGCTCTTCTAATCTCGCGATCAGTTCATCTGCGTCTATCATCCCCGACTACCGCATCCGCTTCGCACCCGATAAAAAGATCGACTTTCGCGTCTATCTCGATCCCCACCACGATCCCAACGATACAAACATCGCCAGCACCGTCGATGCTGTTCGCGCGCATCTTCCGGGTCTGTCAATAAACCCAACCGACGATCTATCGCTATTGAGCAATCCAATCGCCATTCCCATCGAGACTAAGCGTCCCGGCGACGGCTTGGACACTGCCAATCTTCAAGTAGCGACGTTTTTGACGGCGCATTTGACGCTTCTCCAACGTCTTCTTGATGTTGGCGCTCCTGTACCCGTTCAAGATGGGGAGAAGGCACCCTCGGTTGATGACCTGGGCTCTTTGCCTGGACTGATAGTGCAGGGAAATACGTGGAACTTTATCGCAGCGAGTCGTCAGGATTCTCGAATCGTAAGTTTACCCCTCGTCATTGTCGGAGCTGTGCTAATTGTTCTAGGTGATCTGGTCAGAAACCTCACTCGGTTCAACGGGCGACATATTCGGTATCTACCAAATCATCGCATCTTTACAATTACTGCGCCAATGGATTGGTACTACATACTGGCCATGGCTACGACGCGTCACGCAAAGAGCTGCTACAGCTGCTCAATTACGCGATGGACCAGCTGGATGAAGATGTCTTAGGATGATGCAGTAAGAAACTCAAATTCATTGGAGGCCCCTGAGCTTGGAGGACCCCGCGCGGATACAGCCGGACGCCAATTAGATCACTCGGGACGATTTTAGATCATGCCGAAGCATTGCGGCGTTAAGGGCCCAGATCGACAGAGCTGGCTGGATTGAAGCTGGACGCCGTGGAGACCAGACCCAGCTGGCTTCACCGTCATTCTATCCAGGTATGACGACCAATGTGTACCGGGACAGTGGGCGCGCTGGCGCTTGGACGTTATGAACGGGACGGGGAGAGGGTCCCCGCGTCACGGTGAGGCACAGCCCACTCGGGGTATCATAACACGACGCACCAGCACACCGTAGCTGGGATGACAGAAATGCCTAGACAGGACTCAAGCAAATATGCCTCTATACCTGCTCATTTCATTCGCGACGACTTCACTTTAGTCTCATTTTGGTCTCCCTATGCATCTCCCCTCTTCTCCAGGGATGCAGAATCTCGTAAACCCGCGATAATTCCATGACTTCATAGCTATCACCCGCCACCACGCCATCCCCACGAGGTATTAGCAAGCTGTGGCAATCCCCTCAAACTCCCGGCAAAGACGGCATCTCCAGTTCCCTCGTCAATGCCAGCTGAAACCCCCCATCTTTCACAACCCATCATTTCGTTGATTGATGATTACGTCCTCCAGTGGAGTTCAAGCGCGCCGCTTATCCGAGCTTGCACGGCATCGATTGCCGAAGTGGCCCTTGAGCTATGAGCCGTGAGATCCGATGAGCTTGACATCAGCCACTGCTGGCTCGCACACCGTCATGGCTTGAAACTTGCTAGAGGCAGCTTGTGCAATGCGGCTTGTTTCCAAGTTTAGAATAGAGTAGAGTGTCGTGGTCTAGGTAGAAGACCCCTGGACCCCTCAAGGTATAAAGTTTGAGCTCTTCTGTGTGTATCAATCCTTATTCAAACATCCTACATCTTTATCACTTATTCACTACATCAAATACATCACTCACGATGGGTTGGTTCGATAGTAAGTTCTCCTGAGCAGTAGATACTCAGATCCTTACTAATCGACTTGTTAGACAACACCGAGGTCGTTGAGAACTTCAACGAGTACAATCAAAACTCTGAGAACAGGGAGCATCACGCCAAGCTCTCTCACGAGATCATCGGCGGTGCTGCTGCCTATGAGGCTGCCAAGGCATACGAGGAGCATGTAGCTAGAAACGGTAAGCTCAACTCACCTTCTCGTTGAGATTTGTTACTAACAGTTTACCAGGCAAGCCCGACAGCCATGCACAGGCCAAGGAGTTCATTGCCGGAGCTGTTGGTGCTTTTGTTGACAGAGAGTTTGAGACCAAAGGTCTTGACTTCTTCGATAGGGAGGAGGCTAAGCGTCATGGTGAACGCAAGGCGCACAGGGAGCTTGAGGAGCAGTACTAGATCTGTACTAGAGTTTCTTAGCAAATCAATATAATGAATGATGAACTATACATGGACCAATGTTCGCTGTCGCCGTGCGAGATTTGGGATATATATGCTTAGTTTTGTTTTAGGATTAGTAACTGCATCTATAGTTTCTCTATTTACATGCTTGCTGCAAAACTAAGACTGACTAGAATATATAACAATTTAATACATAGTCCTTTGACGTCAAATATACACATGTACAATAGTGGGACAGGATTTGCGCAGCACCCTCTCGTTCAACTACTACTAGTCTCGATGCTCCAACCACCTTTACGCCCTTATCGACCATGTTTATGTTCAAAGCTACAAAACACCAACACGGTATCGACCAATTGAGATATTGTGCCATCAGTCGGCGATGGAAGGTCCCTGACTAACTCGCCACACCAAATAACGAGATTGGATCCCCTGTAGATAGATATTCTAAATTAGCCTCTTCCTAGGTGCCTGGTTGGATATATCTACAAGGAAGGATCTGATATCTTGCAAAGCAGCATTGTTGGCCAAGTGAGCAAAGTGTAAACCCCTAACACTTGCCTTAGGTGCTACTGAATCTTATAAGCTGTATGGTGTTATTTCGCGCATCAGGCTGCCGGAACATCGAAGTCTATCCAGCTCATTATAACACGGGATAGAGATAAAAAAAAAAGATACTGGTCAATATTTAATTATACTGAATCTCTGACAGATTTCAGCTCTCAAGTTCTCAGCCATTCTTCTCAGCAAGAGCTGTCTGCACAGCTTTCCGACCAATCTCCTTGGCAGCCCCGGTATCAATAAAATCCAACCCTCGAGTCTCGATTTCTTGATACACCCAGGCGCTTACAAGCCCATGATTTGGTTTGTCCACTCAACTTCGTGAGGACGCTGGGTAGCTTCCTTGTAGGCCGCATATTGGGCAGTTTCGTCTGTGAGCTTGGTTAGGTGGGTATTATGGAAGAGCGAGGAGGAAGTAAAGACATTTTGTAGGTTCTTGAAAGTGTAGATTGACGTGAGATAGATGTTTTGGGAAATATCACGCAGGGCAAGCTCGAACCTTAAACCTCGGGGGTTCAAGGACAATCTCAGTGGATTGATTATCACCAAGGTGTACTGTAGATGATCAACATCAATTTAAGGCAAGGGATCTTGAGATCTGCACACTAAATAGAGCTAATTGTCCAACAGCACACGGCCAGCCAATCGGGCCCCTCAGTCGTCTTTTCAGCTGCGCCCAAATTTGTTGGCAGTCGTCACATCTGTGCGTTGGCCCTTCAAAGTCTCAGCCTCTCGAACCGTTCCAAGGCTTTGACTCGCCTATTTAAGAGCTACATAGATCAGATAAACACAGGGCATAACTGTCAAGAACTTAGGCTTCGCGTTTTGCGAAATTGGGGGGTTAAATGTTCTATCAATCCGAGGTGTTTTATTGTAACTTTCGTCTGTGAATAAGGTTCAAGGCAGGCCTGGAAAGGTACTGTTCAAGTATATATCATCTGCAACCAACAACTGCGGCCAACGGCTCTTCTTTAACTTAGTCAATTAAGTACAGCAGAGAGGGATATCCGTAGGTTCCCGGTTCTTCAGATTCTAGATTTGCCTAATACAAAGTCACTTATGATCTCTGCAACCTTCTCTGGCGCCTCTAGCAGGGCCAAATGTCCAACATCTTCCAGGATAAGGAACTTGGCGAAGGGAATGTTACCAGAGACCTCTGCCTTGATACGGGCCACAGGTTCGACTTGATCCTTGCTTCCAGCAATAACAACCGTTGGTACCGAGATCTTCTTGGCCAGCTCCAGAATATTTTCATTCATGGCATATCGTGGCCATGCCGCTGTAGCAGATGGACTGCCCTTTATCATATCCTCCACAATTCTTTCGATGATACCGTCAGGCAAGGACTTTGCGGTAAGAACATTCCGGACAACAAACTCAGCGTTCTGCGCGTTATCGTAGGCGCTGATTTGCTGATCTCGCATCTCCTTGGGCAGCATTAAAGGCGTTGGCGGCGCTGGACAGAGCAGGACGAGACCCGCAAGGCCGTTAACAAGATTTCGTCCAGCGACGGCTTGGGCGACCTTGGCGCCCATAGAGTGTCCGACGATGATGTATTTCTGAATGTTCAGTCGCGTGATGACGTTTTCGACATCCTGTGCAAGTCTGAGAATGGAATATTCGGTCTCGTCTGCGGGACCAGTCGAGCTACCCCATCCGCGAAAGTCAATCCGGGCAGTTGGAAAGGTGTGTGCAATTAGGTGATTGACGGGTGACCAGGTCCTGGAGGATCCTCCCCAGAAATGAAGAAAGACAATGGTTGGATAGTCTTGAGATTGCACCTGAGGAAATGATTGCTCGACGTGAAGGTGAACGTCATCTTGGAGCTGGATACGCTTGGTGGTGGATACAAATGACATGTTGCTCAATAACTGTTAGAGTCTGTCTTTGGGTGTAGAGTGTAACTGAGAGTGTCGATTTGGTTACAGCAAACGGGTTTGACATCTTTTTAAATAACTGAGTTGTTCTGGTGATGAAGTCATGATACAACCGACACGGCCCGGATATATCAGACTCTATTAGTCAGTAATGATACTTCCGTAAGACTACGGCAATTGCATACTTTACATAACGTTAATGTTAAAATTCTTCTTACAAATAGGACGAGAGGCTTAAACTGTCCCAAGTACAGTCAAGGAAGTTTCATACTGTTCAGGGTAGAGGTGAAGGTCCTGATCGACTGATAAGATAAGAGATATCCAATGACGATAAGCAGGGCCAACGCGTCAACGCGCTCCCTTCAAAACCAAGTCACGCAGCTCCAATTCCAGCCATTGACTCATTGGACCACAATTGGCTGTTGCGTCGGCCCATTTCACGCCAAGTCACGAGTTACCGCGTTCGACTCGTGGTGCCATCATTCGACCTGTTCTACTAATCAACGTGTGAGGACCGTGTTTCTGGAAACATGGCCAGAGCTTTTGGGGCAAAAGGTGTGGCCATTCTCTAAGGTTTCGTCAGAGTCACACCAGTCTTCGGTGAAATGACGGTGGTTTGATGGCAAAGACGCGATATAGAGACGTGTTGAATGTAAACAATGTAGAGTATTAAATAATGATTGAACCGCGAGAAAAGTTTACAGATCGATCTTGCATATCGTGTCAAGATCGCATACAGTTTTATGCACCAACTGCACCTCTAATTGCTCGATTACATCCCAGACTTCAACCATGTCTTCCAACATTGGCCTTGTAGACGAGTATCTCGCCAAGGGAACATGGAAGACCGCAGAAAACGCCAACTCAACCTACTCCCACCAAGGTCTCATGCAATACGTCTCCAACCAAATCATCTCTCAATACTGGCTCGAAAAGATCTACACCGAAGAAATCCGACAATATGACCACGAGAATCGCTTCCATATCCATGATCTCGGCTTTCTAAGCGCGTATTGCTCTGGCTGGAGCATTGAAGATATTCTCCTCCAAGGTTTTGGTGGCGTTGAGAATAAGATCCAGTGTCGACCTGCTAAACATCTCAACACCGCGCTCAATCAGATCGTCAATTTTCTGTTTACGCTACAAGGTGAACTTGCTGGAGCCCAGGCTTTGTCTAGCTTTGACACGTACCTTGCACCATTCATCCGCAGCGATAATCTGTCTTATACCGATGTCTTCAAGTACGTCCAAAGCTTCGTTTACTCCCTCAACGTCCCGACCCGAAGTGGTTTCCAAGCCCCATTCACAAACCTCTCGCTCGACCTCATCTGTCCGAAACGATTGGGCGATCAATGTGTTATTATTGGCGGCGAACTTCGAACCGATTGGGTGTACAGCGACTTCCAGGAAGAGATGGACATACTCAACAAGGCATTTGCTGAAGTCATGATGCAAGGTGATGGAAACGGAAATATCTTTTCTTTTCCCATCCCGACTTACAACGTGTCGGATGGGATTGATTGGGAATCGCCTCGGTGGCAGTCTATCTGGGAAATGACTGCCAAGTATGGTGTTCCTTATTTCGCCAACTTCATCAACAGTGATCTCGACCCAGAAGATTTCCGGTCAATGTGCTGTCGACTGAGGCTTGATCTCAGTAAGCTTCACTGCAGAGTTGGAGGTCAGTATGGCGCAAGCCCATTGACTGGCTCCGTTGGAGTCGTCACGATTAATCTGCCCAATCTGGCATACCGTTCTAATGGTTCGAAGGAGACGTTCATGGCAGAGTTGACCAGCACGTTAAGAGTGGCCAAGGACTCTTTGGAGATTAAGCGGAAGCTTGTGGACGAGAATTCGACGCTTTATCCCTATGCTGCTCACTACCTGTCAGCTACCAAGCATCGCACGGGTTCATACTGGACCAATCACTTCAGCACGATTGGAGTCAACGGGATGAATGAAGCACTTGTGGATCTTCTCGGCCAAGGTATAGGCGAGCGAAAAGACTTTGCCCTTGAAGTTCTGGAGTTCATCAAAGACCAACTCCAAGAGTTCCAGAGAGAAACAGGTAACCTGTACAATCTCGAAGCTAGTCCGGCAGAGAGCACATGCTACAAGTTTGCCAAGCGAGACAAGGAACTCTTCCCTGATAAGGAGATTCCTACTTACTACACTAACTCCACGATGCTCCCCGTCGACACGACGGAGGATCTCTTTGAGGCTATGGGTCATCAGGAGGCACTTCAGTGTTCTTACACTGGTGGTACTGTCTTTCATGCCTTTCTCGGCGAACAGTTGCCGAGTTGGAAGTTGGCTAGAGACTTGATCAAGACTCTCACTGCGCGCTTTCGCATTCCGTACATCACACTCACTCCAACGTTCAGTATTTGTCCGACACACGGATACAGAGCGGGTGAGCAACCAGAGTGCACAGCATGCGGGGAATTGACGCTCGTTTACTCACGTATTGTCGGGTACTTCCGACCCACGAGGGATTGGAATCGGGGCAAGTCGAAGGAGTTTGTCCAACGAAAGGTGTACAAGTATGAGACGGGGCTGGAGGGCGTGAATGATGACAATGAGTTTCAAGACTTGGAGAAGCAAGTCGCTGCGATTCAGGATCTCCCCGTGGCTGGCTACATCAAGAGCACTCTGAGTGACTACCCAGGCAAGATGCAGGCTTCCATCATGTTCACCTCCCGCTGCAACCTCGCCTGCCCTTGGTGTCACAACGGCCCGTTAGTCCAGGGAGAGTGTGACGATGTTACCATTGTTGACATCTTTCGTCACATTATATCAACGTCTCACAAGTCACTCGTTGTTTCAGGCGGTGAACCGACAATCCACAAAGGCCTCCTCCCCTTCCTCAGAATCCTCAAAGCCGCAGGTATTAGCGTAAAGCTCGACTCAAACGGCACATCCCCCGACATTCTCAAGCAAGTCTTTTCCGAAAATCTCGTTGACTTTGTTGCGATGGACATCAAATGTGCTTTGGAGAATTACAAGCGCGTTACAGGTCGCAAGGTCAAGCCGAAGCTTCTTGAAGCTAGCATTGGCCTTATAAAGAACAGTGGAGTGCCGTATGAGTTCCGCACGACGGTTGTGCCGGAGCTAGTCGATGTTGAGGATCTGTTTGAGGCGAAGAGATTGTCTGGGAAGAAGCTGACGATGCAGAGGTTTAGAAATGGCGAGACCTTGTTGGATGAGAAGTTTAGGACGTTTCAGGAGCATACAGATGATGAGTTTGATAAGTTGGTCAGCCAGGTTGCGTGATTGGGATACTTTATCTTTTTCATCAGAGTTTGTTCTTGTATGAGTAGTAATGTCGATGAATGGTAGAAATGTCCAACCTAGAACCCAATGAATGCATTCTTCCCTCCACTCAGAGGTAAACTAATCAATCCAGCCTTCTTCCGAAACATATCCATCCACTGAGGATTATCAGCCCAAGTAGAGTCCCAGGAGTTATCAGGCCCATAGATAATCTCGCTCATCTTTCTTTGTATCTGGCGATCTGAGGGCACATGGCCTTGCGAGATCTCAGTCGATACATACTGTAACAAGAGCCTCTGTACCTCTTGATGAGAATGAGGAACCTCTGACTCTTTCAAGTTCTGTCCAGGGCTCGCTTCATTCGTGCTAAATGGGTTCAGAGCATACGTATCGACACGATGATCTACCCGCGAGGCAGAGAATGGCTCCATGGTTCGGCGCTGATCGCCAATCAAGAAGGCGGGCATATCATTCTCCACGAGTTCTTCAATCTGTTGGTCGAAACCGCGGTCACCTTTCCATTGTCTCATGTCTGCACCTGCGCGAAAGTGTAAAGCAAGATGCTTCTGTCTCTCGGTCCAAGTGCCCAGTTGAGCATCACAAAATCCGCATCTGGATCTCACATCATCTATTGACGAAAGCCAGCTTTTCATGGAGTCGTTGAAGTTGCAGCCTTGATGGAAGAGTCGCAGATGCTGCCGCAAGTGATCCTTGCGGTGGAATAGTCGTGCAGATTCTGGTTGGGCAGCACAGGCTGAGTAGTTATGAAGCTCTGGATGTTCTGTCGAGGGATTGGGACAGTTGCAGAAGATGCAGTACGAATTGCCATCTGGTTGCTGTATTGTTGGGCCATATCTTGAGCATCTGTATCTATATTAGTATTTGCAGACCAGAAATGGCTGGACCTCGACTGACTTCCATTGCTCAAGAGTCAAGTGCATGGTTGTCTCATGTCTTTGCCAGTCATGCTTTGTTTTGAAGGCATCCGTGCAAAAGGTGCACTGGTATCGTCGCTTGGTTGTCTCCCTTTCTCTTGTGGTGTTGATATTCTGGCGTGCTTGCCTCCTTCTTCGTCTCAGTCGAGAAGCCGATGCAATTGGTGAAGTCAGTGATTCCACAGAGCCCACCGAGGAATCTGATGGTGCACCATAGTATCCGCTAGACGATAGCCATGAGACATCTTCAGCCAAAGTGTCACTGGATGGGAGATCCCCAGAAGCTGTGCAATCTATGGATTCCAAAGTTTCGATTGATAGGTGGTGCAACCCTGTCTGGGACGGGCCGTCGTCGGTAACATCGGCTTCTGTATTCACCGTCCCGCTATTGAGCCCGGGATTAGTGTCCAGGACCTCGTCATGATGGTGTAGCCACGAGAGCCAGTCGTCCTCGTCAAGTAACGTATCCCCTCGTGGCGAGCCTGACGCGCTCATGTCTAATTCAATTTGCACAACGAGAGTTTGGGCCAAGGCGTGAGGAGGGGATCGGCATATCGGAGGTGGCAACCGAGTTTATCGCAGGCGTCGTCACAGGGCGCAAAATTAGCTTACGCCCTTCAAGGTGACCCACTCCTGCAAGTGAAGGGAGCTACTGGACACGAAAGGGTTATGCCAGCAACCGAGATAGGGTGCATTGTATTGGGTATTTATTATCCACATCACAGTAGGCAGAAAGAAGTAGGTATCTATATCTTACGCACTCTCATCATTTTCACCATGTCTGCACAAACCTCTACTCGTCCCAACGGCACAAATGGCTCTGCAGGTTCCGTGAAGGGACAGCTGGATGCATCCAAGCTCAAGTTTGACTTGACAACAGCGCTGAAAGATGTCCCCAAGCCTGGATCCGCTAAGTTGTGGGAACAGAATGTCGCGACAGACCACATGGTCACCTGCCGCTGGACGGTACAGAACGGCTGGGAAGACCCGGTTATCAAGGCCTTCGGCGACTTGACTATTTCGCCTCTTGCATCTTGCCTTCACTACGCCACTCAGTGCTTCGAGGGCATGAAGGTTTACCGCGGTTATGATAATCGCGTTAGACTCTTCAGACCGGATCGAAATGCAAAGCGCTTGGTTATGAGCGCAGAGAGAGTCTCACTACCAGGTTTTGATCCCGAGCAGCTCGTCGAATTGATCAAAGCCTTGGTTCGCGTTGATGCGAAAAGTTAGTGTTTCTATCTGCAAATTGTTCACTGCGAAACCTGGCTCACAAATGTGAATAGGATGGCTGCCAGAGCCCGGCAGCTTTCGGTACATCAGACCAGCGTTAATCGGAACCGGGCGCCAACTGGGTATCCAAGTCCCCAAAGAAGCCATCTTGATGGTCACGATGGTATGCTGGCCCGATTTCTCCACCGAGGTTCCTCCAGGTGTAGAGCCAAGATCGGATCTACGTCTTATCACGTCGAGGAATGACACGATCAGAGCGTGGCCTGGTGGTTTTGGCTACGCCAAGGTCGGTGCGAATTATGGCCCTAGCTTTGCATCTCATTGCGATGCGCAACAGGCTGGCTACGATCAGGTGTTGTGGTTGTTGGGCGAGGAAGGACAAGTCACTGAGGCTGGGGCCAGTAATTTCTTCGCAGTCGTCCGAGACGAAAAGACTTCGAAGCCGGTTCTGCTAACGGCTCCATTGACGGATCGAGTCATTCTCGATGGCGTCACCAGAAGGTCTGTTCTGGATCTGGTTGAAAGCCGACTATCCGAGGAGCTCGAGGTCAGAGAAGTGAAATTTACGATTAAAGATATTGCGAAGGCCTGGAGAAATGGTCTACTTCAGGAGGCATTCGTGTCTGGCACTGCTGTGAGTAATCCCAATCGAGCTTAAGAGGCAGTTGACTAATTCATCGTAGTTTTTCATCAAGAACGTATCGACCATTCGGGTTAGTGATTTCAACATCGACTTGCCGCAGAAGCAAGACGATGGCAGTGCATTTGGCCCGCGGATAAAGAGCTGGTTGAAGGATATTATGTTCGGAGCTGAAGATCATGAATGGGGTGTTTTTGTTGAATAAAAAAACCACAGAATAGATGACGTCTAGAGCGAGTGTATAACTTAGATTGCATGGGGCTTGTGCCGTTGTTTATCGTACTACCGAAAGACTTAACATTTGGTTGCCATTGGGGAGACTATCTCCGTTCCGCAAAATCCCTCGTCTAACTCAGATGATGTGGGGCTGGGAAGGTCTTAAATTCTTAAAGTCTCGCACTGCTCTTCTGCATCTCATTTTGAAGTCAAGCTACAACTACCGTCTACGAATGGCCAAGCACGCTCAAGTGACTCTAGGTGTTTTGGGACGATATTATTCGGCCCGGCATACCTTGGGACAATACCGCTCAGCATGTGTAACGGCAACATATACCATATCGCTCCCAAATGACTCATTGTTGAATGAACTTGATAATGCACTCGAGCATGCTCTGCAAGCCACCATTCAACAACATAGCGGTCTACGCTATGGTATTTCCGATGAGAAAGAAGCTGGTATTCCGCTGTTCGGGCAGATCCGCACATTCGACCGCCAGGACATTTTGGAGGCAATTGACAGCCAACATGTCAACGGCAACGATAGGAAGGCCGGGGATATGACTGATGAAGTTCTATCAAAAGTACTCGAAAATGGTCATTCAGAGCTCTGGCCTCAAAACAAGCCAGCCTGGAAGGCTGTTATTGTGAAGCATACAGGCAACTGCAAGTCTAGCCCATCCTCAAAGATGGACATCGTCTTCTTTGCACACCACGCTATAGCTGATGGATTAAGCGGACTTGCCTTCCATGCCTCTCTCATGAACAATCTCAAGCTCAAAACACCTGTCCCTGCGCAGTGGCCTCTGGAATTGGACGAGTTACAGGACCCTCCGCCCACAATCGAAGAGCGAGTGGACTGCCTCTCGTGTAGCTGCACTACCTGCACGACCCCAGGCAAATCTGATGAGCCTGTTTGGGGAGGGGGACGCATATCCGCAACACCGACGGTCAATTACGAATCTTGTGTTCGTATAGTGACAGTTCCAGCGGCACCGTTTTCTGTCCTTCTTAAAAAGTGCAAGCAGGCCAATGTCACAGTCACCGGGCTCCTCCACGCTATCATATGTACTTCGATGGGCTGTTCTATCAAAGAAGATGTTCCTGGATTTCGAGCTGTTACACCCTTCTCAGCGCGACGACACACTAGAGCCTCTGACGCAGAAATCGTGAACCATATCTCTTATTTAACCAGCTACGTCTCTTATGAAGATCTGCAAAAGTTCAAAGACTGCCAGCACGGCTCTAGCACCGAGGAGCAGCATATTATAGACCTTGCGCGTCGTTTCTCCAAAGAAGTAGCGACAAAGGTCAAAGAGTTCCCGCATGAAAGCATGGCTACAAAACTCAACCAGGTCCAAGATATCCTACAGGAATGTCAAAGTCAAGGCGGTGCAAAAAGACGATATACGTATGAGCTGTCGAATCTTGGTTCAGTTTCGAGCATATGTCCCCCTGAAGGGAGTGACATCAAGCTTGGCAGACTGGTCTTCACGCAGTGTGGTTTTGTTGCTGGTCCCGCGTTAGGATTCAACTGTGTTAGTACCAGAGGAGGGGATTTCACTATCAGCATTACTTGGCAAAGGGGTGTTGTTGCAGAATCTGTCGTGGAAAACGTTGCTCAAGAGCTAGAAACACGACTTGAGAGTTTTTAGTAACTTAGAATGTCCTTAAATTTGTCTTGTCATGGCATTATTTGATCTAACTTCGTAGTCTGATCTCTCAATGCAAACTTAATAGCGAAGCTGGTGATATGCACCCCTGAACCAAGTGCCTTCCTTCGTATTGCCATGCAAGCCTAGCGTGTCTCGCGATGTCCCTCGTTGCCTGCGGGAAGCTAGTTGTTGTTGTGGGGCATATAACGTTGACCTACAGCTGAAGGTGGAGAGACTCTAAAGGGCGTATTTTCAGGCGTAAATTGAACGCCTCACGCTAATCCTTGGTGTAAAACAGTTCGGTCGAGGGCGTGAGCCTGGGCGCAACCTGGCCTCTCCGATGTTCGCAGTTGATAAGGCGCATAACTTAAGGCGTAGGGCGCTGCAGTTATATGATAAGAGCGAAATTATGCAAATGCTGCGTGGTGGCTCGGATCACGACAGCATGGCGCACGAAATGAGATCGGAACCCGCGATGGAATGGATCGTCCTTATTCCCGATATCGAAGGCTCATTAGAGACGCGGATGAGAGTGCGAGAGTAAGTAATTCCGCTCTTCTTTTATCGTTCAAAATACAAATGCTTTTCTAGAACACATATTAAGGATATGCTTCGGCATATCGACTCTGGTTTATTCCAAATGGGCGGGGGCACTTTGGCTGGAAATACAGTTGACGGTAGCGCCATTATTGCCCGCGCCAAATCTGAAGCAGACATCATGTCTGTTCTCAAGACTGACATTTATGCTCGAAGCGGAGTTTGGAACCTAGAAAAGATCAAATTTATTCCTGTAGGTACACTGATTCCAGAAAGACCTTTCCATTGTTAACGTGAGGCACAGTTCAAGTGCGTGTATCGACGGGAGCATATTGATAATGCTGTCATGGGCGCTGGATGGAAGTTCTGAAGCGGGGTTACTAGCTCTAGATTAATAATTCAGCGTACTTATATATGGATCATGTCCACTAATTCACATCCAATCTATCTCACCAAACTCAACATCAACTAGTCGACATCAGCCATGGAGTCAATTGCCATCCTCCAAAAAGGAAAAGGCCTCACCCAAGGGATTGTTACTCTACCTCCCCTAAAGGAGCATCAGGTTTACATAAAGGTTGAATACGCGGCCTTCAATCCAACTGATCGTAAGTTCGGCCGTCAACCGTCGAAATTTCGTGTCGCTGATTTGTTGAAGGCCTGGCTCTTGACGTCGACGCCTTCGGAGATGACGCAGTACTGGGCTGTGACTTCGCCGGTCAAGTGGTGGATGCCCATTCAACTGTGACCAAATTGAAGCCGGGCCACAGTATTGCTGGCTTTGTTTGGGGTGGTGAGTTCGAGAAGGCCTTCACGTGTCAATAGAGGGGAAGCTCATGTGTTGCAGGAGAGATCAAGGGCCTAGGAGCCTACTCGTGAGTTTTGCATGACATTTATTCTTCGATGAAGTTAATCAGAACTTGCAGGATGTACACAATCGCTGATGAGCGACTGTCCTTTAAGATACCCGAAAACATTAATCCAGCCGAGGCTTCTTCAGTTCCATTGGCTGCTAATACAGCATGGCTTGCTCTCTTCTCTGATGACTGCCTTGCACTCAATCCAAACAATACAGGAAACAAAAGTTCCTTGTTGATCTAGGGAGGCAACAGTATGTATTCAGATCATTAATAGATGCAAAGAAAGATACTAACAGTCTGATAGCAACCGTGGGTTACTTCGCTATTCAGCTCGCCAAGCTTCATAATATCGAAGTCGCTACAACCTGCAGCCCTCAGAACTTCGATAAGATGCGACAAGCTGGCGCAACTCATGTCTTTGACTACAACGATGAGGAGGTTGTATCCAAGATTCGATCAGCACTGCCAAACCTGCAGCACGTCTTTGATACAGTGGGCAACGAAACCTCCTCAGCGACTGCGGCTAGATCGATAAGCCAACCAGAAGGCGTGCTATGTACCGTTCGCCCAGGCAAGGCAAACACCCAAGACGTTCCGTCTCATATTAAAGTCACGGATGTATTTGTCTTTACTGCTTTCCCTACAGAGCATAGCTATCGAGGCAAGGCGCATTGGCCTGTAAGTGTCATCTGAATTCGCTAACAATTTGCCTGAGGGTGTTATTCTAACATCTTGATAGGTGAAAATGAATGATCACAAACTCAGTGCCAATTTTCATGGTCAGTTAGAGACATTACTCGGAAACGGAACTCTCAAGCCATCTCCGGTCCGTCTTATGGGACAGCTCAGTCCGTCTACAGTCGACAAGGCGATGGATTTAAACCGCCAGGGCTCTGTGTCGGGTGAAAAGCTTGTCTTTGAAGGCTTCGCTTAGAATGTCAGCCGGCGGTGCTTATTCAATATTCGACAGAGATGCATTCGATTGACGTAGTTCCTTTGCTTACGAAGCAATAGCAAAACGAGAGAAAGTCGTTTTCGCCATCCCAAGATCCACTGACGTACCTCGATGCTACATAAACATCATCTCCACTTGGCCAAGAGAAACAAAGGTCCCTCGTGTACGTGTGTCACAGCCACTTACTCATCACCCCAAGAAACAACAAGCCATTACAAATATTCTATCCCCCTTGGCACTTCTGTAAAAGAACCTCTTGGCCCCATCTATCAGGCTATTTATTAAGAAAATCATCTCTTGATAAGCACTTAAAATACCCAGCAGCGGGGTCGAGATAAAGGCTGTATACAGATCGGGAAGTTGGTATTATGCATATTCTTAGTGTCGTCTTGGCATGTTGCATCGTCAATTACCGACCTTCCCGATTCAAGGCTGATCTTCACGGACTAGTTACCAAAGGTTGATGATTACTCCGTGATAGAGATATTAGCGGGGCAGATCACGCAAGATGGAAGTTTGTTGAAGAATTGAAGGAACTTGTGTTGACTGATGAGGGGTCGAGTATTTATTCTGGGCATTTTCTGGGTATAAAAGGTGAAAGCTTTCTACTCTCCAGTCTTGCCTCTGAATGAGACGTGAAGCCATTCACCATGAAGTTGACTACAGCCGCTGCTCTTCTGGCTCTTTCGCCTTTGACCGAGGCTACCAAGCCTCCAGTGAGCTCAAAGAAGCTTCAAAAGCTCATCACCGAGAAGGGGTATGCCATGCAACCTCACATAAGACCTCGTCCACTAATACTTCTAGGTTGATGCACAACTTGAAGAAACTCAATGACATCGCCTACGCCAACGGAGGAAACCGTGCCTTCGGCCTTCCAGGATACGCCGCCTCAGTCGACTTCATCTACCACGAAATCTCAAAGCTAAAGGGCTTCAAGACATGGAAGCAAGACTTTCCTGCCAACTTCACCCAAACTCTCGCTGCTGAGGTCACTGTCGATGATGAAACGTTCAGAACAGTCGCTTTGACTTATACCCCCAGTACTTCTGAGGACGGTGTAACAGCTGAGCTTGTTCATGGTCCTGAAGGTGAAGCTGCATGCGATGCGGCAAACTATGAAGGGCTCGATGTTGAAGGGAAGGTTGTCCTGGTCGAGCGTGGTCTTTGCCCTGATGGTACTACTTTCGCAGGCAAGGTTAAACCTGCTGCAGCTGCTGGTGCTCAAGTCGTTGTTATTTACAACTCAGATGAAGCTAAGCTTACAGCTGGTACTCTGTCTGCACCTAACCCAAAGGAGTACGTTCCCACTGGTCTTATTGACCAAGACCCCGGACAGGCACTGAAGGCTCGTCTTGATGCTGGTGAGAAGCTCGAGGTGTTTGTCAAGATCATCCAGACCATTGAAACGCGCATCACCCAGAACGTCTTCGCCGAAACCAAAGGCGGCGACGGCGAGAATGTCGTTATGCTCGGCGCTCATCTCGACTCAGTCCAAGCAGGACCTGGCATCAACGACGATGGATCAGGAACATCCCTCATCCTCGAGACAGCAAAGGGTCTGCAGCACTTTTCCACCAAGCTCAAAATCCGCTTTGGATGGTGGGGCGCCGAGGAGAACGGTCTCGTCGGATCTCGCTACTATGTGAACAACCTGAAGACCACCGACGTGGATGACCTTTTGGCTTATCTCAACTTCGACATGGTATCTCGTGGCTTCTTTGGTGTTTTCGACGGAACCGGCGAGAAGGTAGGTCCTGGTGGACCTCCTGGTTCTGAAGTCATCGAAGACCTTTTCAGGGAGTTCTTTGAGAAGGAAAAGATCGAAGTTACACCCGTTGGTTTGACTGGTGGAACTGACTATGTTCCCTTCCGGGAAGTCATCGAGAAGCCAGTTGGTGGTCTTTTCACTGGAACGGGTCTTGAGCAGGATGCTTGTTATCACCAAGCTTGCGATAACATCACGAACCCGGTCCCTGAGACTCTGCACATCAATGCAAAGGCTGCTGCACATGTTTTGAGCAAGCTCGCTATCGATGGTGTTAAGCTTATTCCTAAAACACCGTCCAACACGACGGTCGGGTCTATCAAAAGGGTTAGAGATGCGGCTTCGTTGCATTTGCATGATGCCACTGGTTTCGAAGGAAAGCCCTGTGATCATGATATCATCTAAAGGTACTAGCGATAATTTCTATCGCAATTTATCATACAATACCATATCTCCCTCATCGTTCTATACTGCTACTTTTGACTGTGTCTGAAGTTATGACACTACTATGTGACATGCGAGACACCGGTCTGGGCCACAGCAATAGTGCTCGGGGACGCAGGGGTGACAAATGCAGGCCTCTCTGGATCTATCGCGATCTCGTCTAATCGTTTCATCCACCCATCCAAACCAATTGGTATAATATCAGTAAGACGTTCGGGCTCGTCAACATCCACTTTCGTGTTGGAATCTGTACCTTTGGGTGGTTCACACCAGAGGACAGGTTTGCTATCAGCAATGGCCAGCTTCACGCCGCAAGCTTCTGCCTTCCTGAGCTCCTCTTCTGTCATATTGTAAGAAGTCGTCTCTCGATACACCTCTTTCATCTTTGGAAGCCAAACGTCCTTTAAAAATGTATCTAAAGTGGTCATGCTTCCGTAGCCGTCACCGAAATACGAAACGAGGTCTTCCAACTGTTGTAGCGTGGCAGAATCCTCCTCATGTATCTCATCGACCTCGCCTGAATCCATAATGGAGCATGACCCGCCGTTCGCATGTTTACAGCAAGTATGACGGAGTCCTAATGCACAAAATGTCGCGTAGCGTAGGACGGCACGAGGCATCCAGCTCTGCGCAGCATGTTCTCCGGCAATTAGAGCTTGGGTGCTGGCCACAAACGATCTGATAGCTTCTGTCAGAGTAAAAGATGTTCGAGGGAAGCGACGGCGACACCCGAGGCCTTCCAAAAACTTAATGAGAGGTGTGCAGCCCTGTGAGGAGCAGTGGCATAGACAATCATCGCCTAGGACCTCGGAAAAGGCAATATCTGCCACTGACTGCGGCAAAGCATTGTCGTAAAGTCTGTAAGGGTAATATCTTGCCTTGTAGCCTAAAATTGACATAAGATAATGAGCCCATGTTGCTTGATTAACGACCCCGGGCACGAAATCCACTGGTACTATCGATGCAAGGTCTCCGCCACCGTCGAGTATCCAGTCGATGTACCGGGGAGAGGGCCAACCAAAGGAACTTCTTCGGATGACATTAGTTGTTATGCGGCGAAAAACGTCGATAAAAGCAGTGTCCCTGTCAAAGCCCAATGAAAAGGCATATTCAGCAGTCTCTCTGTCAAGTATATATGTATAGACGGACTTTGGGGTTTCCTGCGATACCGCCGGGCACTTCTCAGAGTGTATCTTGAGATAAATTGGTACATTGCAGGATTGAGCTGAGAGACAACACTGAACCTTGGAAGCATTTCTGTCCAAGATCCAACCTCTGCATAGACCGAGGTTTTGTATCTCTGTAGCGGGAAGGTTTGAAACTGCTAGTTGTTCCAATTCCTTCCTTCTCTGTACCAGATGTTGAAGAATGACTGTCTTGGTGCGCGTACATGGTCCCCATAGACCCTCTTTCAGAGATCGCTCATATAGAATTGCCTTTGAATCAAGCAGTAGCTCCACCATCTTACAACTGACACATAACTGCTGGTGATCTGCCTTTGGCCTCCCAAGAAGATGGTAAACTGCATAATCGATCGGGTATCTTTGCATACTGTCCATGGTGTTAATAGTTTCGGGGTTGAGATCTTCGATGACGAGCGAGAGTATGTGCAGATTTCCGACCACGACTGCTATGTGAACAGGTGATTGGCCACAATAGTTGACGTCCATTCTGAGCGACGGGTATCTTTTGATTAGGAATCGGACGTCCTCTTCATCCTCCCTTAGAACTGCGATGCTCAGCGGGTTGAACCCGAGACCTGGTGAATCTTAGTATTTTTACTCGAGGTCAGCTGGTTTTCCTAACACCATTTAACTACTTACTTTGGGCGATTTGGGGAAATTCTTTGAGAATGCTACGTCTTTGTGGGTACTTGTCAAAACCTTTCACGCTCCTGTAGTCATGTCTTGTCGACTCGCCACACCGAGACAAAAGTGCTGACATGGTTTCAGGGAGCATGTCGGTGTTAAGTAACCAGTCGCTTTCCAAAACAAATGACAGGAAGCGCAGACTATTTAAATAAACGATTAGCATATTCCATAGAGATCACCTAAATACAATGTATAGTTCTGAACTTACTCCCCGTCACGATCGTAGGTGACAGGCACCTCAAAATTAGCAAGAGACCGAAAAACAAGTGCAACACCATCTCCTGCTTTCTTCCCCGGCCCTGACTGTGAAGATCTCTAGTTAGAATATACACCAGTTGTATTTCGTGTTAAATTAACTGACACTGCCTTTCATCCCTGATGTGAGGATGTCAATTACTGATTCGCCGTTGCTGTTTATGTCAACTGGGGATGCTTGACGGTTGACATAACACAAATGGAGTCGTCGCACACATGACTTGGCGATCATATGGTACTGCTCATTACCCAAACTCGGCTCTGTCCATAGCTTGAGGGCACAGAGAGTCCTGATAATCCTGAAAGATGGGGAGGAATTCTCATCGACCGTTGCAGCCCAAGTAATGTTTTGGCCAATGCTAAATCCACCAGCACCAGTTGTGAGAGAGACTGAGACACCGATGGCGGCTGTCAAGATACCCAAGATGTTGGGAATGGATACTCCAAGGACACTTCTCGTTCGTTGGGTTGCGGTCTTTATCTGTGATAAGGGGCATTCTGGCGTGTGGTGTGTTGTCTTTGTGAGCTCTGTCTCGAAAAATACTAGACCCCAACGGCCGGCGCTGCGCTGCAATTCTTGACGCTTTACACAACGACAAAATCCAGGCGTTCCAGGGCTCAGACGGCTTTCAGAACTCACAGGCTGAAGAACTGGCACCTCGGATGGTGGTCGCTGGCTAAATGTCACATTTGAAATAGCATCGCATAATATTTGTAGATCTTGTGGGTATGCCGCAAGTCGGGCAATCTGTGCTTGTGCAGTACCGGCGTTGCGTAGGTGCGTGAGGATTTCGTCGATCCTTGATTCAGCCGTCGTAGATATAGGTCGAGAAATGAATTGGCTATACTGGCGAGATTGGCCGAAATCGATAGCTTGCTCTATTGTCACTCTTGAGGTGTTTTCTGTTCTCATTTGAATAACGTCGATCATCTTCTGCAAGGCCAAGATGGCTGAGCTCTGATCGTTCAAAATGGAACTGATTTAAAGGTCGAGTTAGCCATAGCGTGCGGAAGTAATTGGAAGAATCTATCTCACAGCTGTAAAGCAGATAAAGCAGTCTTAAGAACATTATTTGTAGACATCAATCTGCCCTCAAGCTTGGTGATGTTCTTCTTTTTGAAAGGATAGCTCCATTTGTGCATGGAACTTCTCGCTTTAGCAAAGGGTCCCGCGGGATTAACAGGCAGCCCCTTTAAATCCGTAAGAAGTGTTCCCAGAGCTTTAAGCTCAGCTTCGCACGAGTTCTTGCACTCCTCAACAGCGTCTTGGGCTAAGGCATTGTTGCCATTGACTCTGCTAATCGCCTCTCCAATGGCCTTCAGGGAACATTGCAGGTTCTCAAACGACGCGACCTAACAATGCGTCAACCAACAATGCGGCCTCGGCGCTTAATGTTGGTTTACACTTCATTATGACAGGTCGACACACACCAACCCTATACGTGCATAGCTTTCGCGGTTCCAGTGGAGGTAACCAAGATTAGCAATTAAAACCCATATGTGTACTAATAGGATACGTCAAAAGTGCCAAATTCCATGATTACTGATATCCGAGAGATGTAAACCATGAAATTGCTATGAAGGGAAGATAAAAATAGAAAGCCCAAAGATGTCTAGGGTACGGGCCAAACGTAGTGAGGCAAAGCCCCACTCGTAGTCGCTGGCCTTTGGCACCAATGGATCCTGACCTCTTATCGATAAAGATCTTGGCAAGCAGCAAGCTCCTACTTTGCTAGTAAAAGGCAGCTGGTTTATGCGGTTTCAACATCAAGATTACGAAAGGAAAAGAAAGTATTCGGACATCAGTAGCCACTAGACTGAGAATAAAATTTCATGATGTAAGAAAGAAGTCATTAAATATGTAATCTAAGGTTTTAATACGACAATGGGCACTAACTCCGCGCCCTTCTTAACTAAACTGCTTTGGAAGATGTTGCCAGTATGCTTGGTAGTCGCCGTGAGACCTGGCTAACGCTGTGAAAATGGCGAATTGATCTCAATTCATATGTCAATGAGACCAGAAGGTGCACTATTCAGTGGCATCTATGTCACCGTACATCGATTCCTGGCCTGGACCAAAACCGTTGAGTGAACCAGTGCCACTGAGCAGAGAAAGCGATAGAGTATCCGAAACTTGTTGGTTGGAGAATGGCGTGCCACCTGGATCGATCAATTCTGAACTGTGGGGAGGATACCGACGTTAACCTTGAAGTGGTACAGCCACTCATCGTTATCGGCCGCTGTTTTGTGCCAGACATCTTCACTACTATAATTAGTTTCTTGACGACATAAAGTTGATTGCAACTGACTCTTCAAATGTAATCCAGCGAGCGTGATGCCGAAGCTCCTCGTCGGTAGGAATATGACTGTTAGGGTTTGCAGGAGACATCATAGCCCTAGTCCAACGACCCAGTGCTCGCGCTAGCCTCTGGTGAATATTCGGGTCGTTTAACATATAGAGTCCTGTTTTTACCCCTGCAAGCTCATAGTCGGGGCCGTCCAGGGCTATATTGCTTGTTGAGAGTGGGAGGACAGATGGATGATCATAGGATAATAGTCCTGCAGCTGAATTTGTCGCATGCACAGAAGGGAAGCCTTTGCTGTGAAATGGAGTCCATCTTAAATCAGGGTCGCAGCTGAAAGTAGGCCACATATTGTAACTGGGCTCCGAAGAGTTCGGTGCTAGGTCGTTTTTATGACAGCCGTGTAAGAGGAGGAGTTCTGGTGCAGTTTGTAAGGATTCTTGTGTTGAAACGTGGTCTGTATTCGTTGAAGTCGCCTCATTGTTACTTAGTGGATTCGGAATACGATCCTCTGGTGGCAGATGAGCACGCATTCGGAATCCTCGGAGCCACCGCGAGGATGAACGGGCGAGCTCAACTAGCCAACCGACAACGAAGTCTGATGAAAGTAGGATAACATCATTTCCCGTTCGCTTGATGATTTCAGTTGCCTCATCTTGCAGCTCGCGGCTCGGAATGTCTAAATGTCCAGATCCTATTTTTGCTTTTACAAAGTTCTTTAGCTCAAGCTCAAAAGGACAATAATCGAAGAGGTTCTTCTTGCCGATGACGATAGGTACTGCAAGTCTGCTTTCCTTACTTGAGCGGATGGGACTAAACCGGGCTTTTTGCATGATCTCATCGTTGGAAGTAATGAGATCCCGGAGCCATGATCCTGGATCCTGGATCTGGTCAACATCAACAGACTGAACATCGGAGGATAATATAATACGACAAGCCTCTAATTGTATTGCTGCTGTATCAGGGACGGTGCTTGTTAAATCGTGGTATGTATGCATAAAATGGGCCAACTCCAAGGCGATCAATTCGAAAGCACTATCCGGAGAGCTAACTGGTCCACTACTACCCTGAAAAGGGAATGGGGTTGCTCGTAAGGTATGGATGAGGTCTTTTACGTTAGTATAACGTATCCTTTGGAAAACAAAACAAACCTACATGGAGGAATCGCTAGCTCCACCATGCCGAGAACGGATTTTTCGAATCCCCAGTCTCCCTTCCAAGAAGACATGCCGAGACCAATCTTGAAGTGATCTGCTAGATGGATAGCCCGTTCAGCCCAGGTTATCATCCTGCTGTCACAGATGCCACATCGAGATTGGATATTGGAAATCGAAGTCTGCCAGCTACCTGTAGCCCAACCGACAAGCTGAGAGTTGTGGACGAGGCGGAGGTGCTGCTTCAGATGATCCTTGCGATTAAAAATCCGTTCCTGACAGGAAGATGGATTATGACGCTCAATGTGCTCATTGCTCGGCTCAGGTTCACCGCAGAATACGCAAGACACCAATTCCGTTTGTGGATTGACCGCTCGGGATCCATTAGGCGAACACAGCCATCTTTCAAGGCGGAGATGGATTGTCTTTTCGTGTCGTTCCCAATCGTGTTTCTTTTGGAATGTCTCAGTGCAAAATGTGCATTCAAAGGGTTTTACATTATCACCAAGAAATACTCTTCTTCGATTTGGCTTTCTTCGGCGGCGCCTCTTACCGAAGAGGTGTTTTCCAGAAACGCTCGAATGGGCTGATGTTGATGATCTCCCGCTGAGAGTACCCATGCTGCTTGTGGATGAGACCACAAACGATGGGTCCGTCCCGTCGTCACAGAGAAAATGATTTTGTGGCATTTCTTAGAGCTGGTCAGTCTTGAAATGCAGCAAACAGTGAGAATCTACGCAGTGTAGCCTACCAGGATCTCTCGGGGGACTAGACGCAACTGCCTCGGCAATTGCAGCAATGCTCGCAGGTTCTGATTCTGCGGGAGAATCAACCCAGCGCTGCAAAGGACTCGTATCTCGCCGTGACCACCGTTGACTAGGAGCCGGTGTTGCTGGCCTACTCGGGATACCAGCGGGAGGCAGAGATGAAAGTCCAGTCGAAGGCCGAGGATTCTTCTCAAGTTTGTGGCGTCGCCGAGTATTGGCCATCCAGTTTGAGATTTGGGTTTTACTCAAGTCCGTGTGTTCTTGAAGAGCCTGCATTTCCTCGTTGCGTGGATAGGGATGGTCTATGTGGATGGAGTACCAACGCTGTAATATCTTGAGCGTCTTGAGGGAGAATCGAGTCCCAGCCTTGGGTGGAACTGGACGAGCGGCTTGTGGGGGATCACCGGGTATGTCCAAGTTACTCAACTGGTACTCTACCGGGCCTTGATCAAGGCCCTCACCATTACTTGACAGGCTGCCGCTGGTGTTGAGGCATATACTTGACCGGCTTGAGGAGGAAATCATTGGGCCATATCGCTCAGCATGGTCGCCGGCCATCCAAACACCCTCGAAATTGTCATTGGAATCTGGCCATCCAGCTATATTGGTGGATGCTTGATGTAAGATACTCTCGAGACTTGCAGAGCCGCCAAAAAAGTTGATAGGAGGCTCATTGGAGGGCAGCTCCGACGTGCTCTCGAGTAATGTGTCATCGAATGCATCTTGCACAAGGGTTGCTCCATTGAGCTGGGAAGCTGAAATGTCCGTGTATGAGGTATTCGAGAGCACTTCAGGCGCAATGCAAAAGCTGTCAAAGTCCTGCTGTTCTTCGGCCTCAACACCAACGGGATCCATTTCAATGTTTTGGTCTATCTCGGCCTGGTATGATTTCGTTCGAGATTTGTCAATTGAATGATGATTGAGACAGAGGAGTCAAAAATGACAGCAGCCTCAAAGCTACTAACGTGCGTGAGTCAGCAAGATGCATTCAACAACAGTCTCCACTTTCCCCAGTATTTGCGCCTTGATGTACAAGCTTGCGTGGGTCAACTTAGTCCTAGATAGTCATGTCCCCGGTATATGCGCCCTGTTGAGCATGTAACAATTATGTATTTAGTGTCAGGTAAATTCTCGAATTAGCACTGAAGAACTTCTTAATTGCTCAAACAATTTGCAAAAATGGGCATTTTCGCAAAAGAACCCTCAAAGCGCCTGGATTTTGAAAATGTCCCGGCAATTGCTCGCAACGGGGACGAAACTCGAGGATTTCCAGCAAATCCCGACGATAATTCACCATGTTTCAATTCCCCAAAGGAACACGGCTTCCCTGAAGGCGGCCTACAGTCATGGTTGGTTGTTTTTGGTGCCTGGTGTAGCCTGTAAGGCTCTGTTTTCTATCAAGCTAGTCTAAGCTCGCTCTGCAAGCCCGCTAACAAAACCTCAGCTTCGCCGCCTTGGGTACCACAAACACCATTGCCGCATTCCAATCATATGTTTCCACACACCAGTTATCCCGATACGATAACGGCACTATTGGATGGGTATTTTCTGTGTACACCTTCCTCGCGTATTTCTGTGGTGTCTACATCGGCCCATTATTTGACAGATTTGGCCCTCGGTGGCTGATCCTAGCTGGAACACTTGCTATGACAGGGGGCTTCATGCTGTTGAGCATCTGTGATGGTAGGTTCAAGTTTTCGAAACCCGTGCGCTGAATGAATGGGCTTTCTAACAGCCAGTACATTAATCTAGAATATTGGCATTTTATGCTTGTGTTTGGGGTTTTGAATGGCACGGCCTGCGCCCTCCTCAACACTTCCTGCATCACCGCCGTGGGGCATTTCTTCTATCGGCGTCGAGGTCTTGCTACGGGCATTGCTGCCGCCGGTGGTTCGGTTGGAGGCATTGTATTTCCCCTCCTGCTCCAGGGGCTGATATCCTATCCATCGCTCGGCTGGCCTTGGGCAGTCCAGATCTTGGGATTTTTGTGCCTCGCCCTGACGGCCATGTCCAATGTCTTGGTCCGTTCCAGATTGCGGCCCGTCATCAAGAGCAGCATCCACCCAAATATGACCATATTCAAGCAAAGGGCATTCCTCCTATCTACTATCGCTATCTTCCCGATGCATTGTGCTCTCTCTATCGCTATAGCTTACATTAGTTCCTACGCCGTCTCGCAGGGATTTAGCGACAAGTTCAGCTTTCAGGTATTGGCAATTTTGAATGCCGGATCTTTCTTCGGGCGCACGTTAGCGGGATGGTGGGCCGATCACATCGGCCCCTTTAACGCCAATATTATCTCCGTACTTTTATCCATCTTTTCATGCTTTGTCATTTGGCTGCCTTTTGGACATACAACCGTCGGATTTATATTCCATGCGGTCCTCATAGGCTTTGCAAGTGGAAACAATATCAGCGTCAGTCCTGTCTGTATTGGCAAGCTGTGTACGACGAGCCAGTACGGTCGGTATTACTCGACGTGCTTTACTATCGTCAGCATAGCTTGTCTAATAGGGAACCCTATTGGTGGGACTATTCTAACCGCTTGTCAAGGGGATTTCTGGGGGTTGATTGTTTTTACTGGGTCATTATGCACGTTCAGCCTTCTGATGTTTGTCATCACGAAAGGCATGAGCGTGGGATGGAAGATCTTGGCTGTTTTCTAGTTACGGGTCAACGTGTCACCTACTCAATGCAATTGTCAGCACATGGCTATGGGAAACCAGAGTCCGCTCGGCTGAGCTGCACAAGATGAGCACCCTAGCGAGATGAGACTATTGAGACTACCAAAGTCGATAAGCTATAGTCACTCGTGTTGGAGATGTATAAAGCACCGAATTGTTATGAATGGAAGTTGGGTGCGACCTCAATCGCCGCAAATCGAAATATCGCTTGCCTATGAACACAATACAAGCATTGGGCCATGTTATAACCTCTGCAGCTGCACAAAAGCATAAGTAAAACCAACCTCCTCTGTGATATATGAGCGGAGAAACTCGTCCTTGAAGCAAGCTGATAAGTCCTCAAGGAATGTTGCCTCTGTGAGAACTCCCGATCGCAAGGCGGGTTCATCAAGGTCTCTTTTCTTGGGGAAAGCACCCAATTCATCCGTCAAAAATCGAGAGCATGCTGCAGTTGTGAAGCCAGTAATACCAGCAGCATACCTGACCCTGGCTGCCATATCCACAGAGTCTTTATCCAACACAGCTGAAGACCATGACGGGTGCATGATTGGAACTGTTACGTGAGATTTGACCATCCACTTTCCCTTTTCGGCATTGATAGAAGACAGTATCTCTTCCATGGTACGGAAGTAGAGTGGCAAGCGTACTGTGAAGGACGGATCGACATGATAGGTGCTTGCGAGTCTGCGAATACTAGCCTGCAGACATGCAACCGCAGGTTAAACCCCGATCTGGCCATGGCAGGGAATGCAGAGTGTTAAGGTGCCTTTTGGTCGAATTTCCCTATGACGAGCTGACAAGAAAGACACCAGATCTTCGTGAGCGTACCTAGCCAGATCTGATGGCTCAAATGAAGATGGCATGTGCTGCAGCCAGTGAAGGGCTGTGAAGGAGAATCCTGCATCGACGAAGTCATCAGGCAGGACTTGTCCAAAAAAGGATTTAGGAACCATGAGAGGATTGACGGGTAGCCTGCCATCTTGTGATAGTAGCGACCAATTATTGAACACGAGAGTTGCAGATGAAAGATTAGGCAAGTTGGAAAGATAGTTGGCAAGAAGCCGAATCCTGAGTAACATCAGCTTCTTCATATCATCAATAAGTGAAAACGGGCAGTAACACACGTATTTTTGCCCTCAGAGGAACCATAATCAGCAAGAGTGATGGAAGTGCCTGTAAGATATGTCAGTGACATGACCCTACCCAGGGAGGAGCAAAGACTTGAAGACACAAGCTTTATATGGTGATACTTAACTCGACGGACCTTTTGATTTGGGGGGCTCAAGAAGAGATAGTGCCTTGTCGATGGCCAGGCCTTGGAGTGTACAATTCTCATTGTAGTACCCTCCGCCTTGCATAGACATGTTATTGGACTTCATACTTCTTAGGACTGCAGTTGTTATACAGTATCAGAGCGAGTCTTTGACTAGTAGTTAATGCTTGTGATATCTCAGATCTGAGAGCGAGCTTCGTGGAAACCTTTCATCAAAGAGGATATGGACAAAGAGATAGGCCTTGATATCCTCCACTCGCACGAATTTTATAGGCTCTTGTCTCCGATATGCCGAACTCGGCGCCTCGAGGTTCCGAGGGCGCATCTCGTGCCAGGCCTGTCAAGCCACCATGAGATTAGAAAGAATAACTCACGTCTGAGCGTTGACTAAGACATAACTAACTGCCGCAAGGCCACATGGTTTCTACAGCTAGCGTAGGCAGTTACGTCAACATGCCAAGGCGGTTGATATTGCGATATGGTTCTTGGCTTATAGGGCGTCTAGGGGAGGCATGAAAACTTGAGACCTTTATCCTAAGTGATATGAATAACTAACCTAAAACCCTCCTAAGTTTATACTAAACTTGCCCAAGTCTTTTTGTCACTTAGAGTAGAGGTCCTAAGTTTTTTTTGCTCCCCGAGGGGCGTATCGTGAGCTTCAATACGAGCGAAGATCTATCTCTTATCTTGACGGGATTGGAAGGAAAGGTTCGTGCCAGTGGGTCAACTAATAGATAAATGGCTTCCCCGGGTCCAGACGGTTCTACATTTAGAGTGGTGAGTTACGTCAACATGCCAAGGCGTGTAGATCTTATAATACAGTTCGCTAGCAGCATTAATTATTGGAGCTTAACGACTTTGGCCAGGTCGATGGAGAGAACACCGAGCTTAAGATTTGCGATCCCGGGTGACTGTGGGGGCTAGTGTTTATTAACCACGAGCTAAAATAGCCCGCCACGGCGTTATACGACTTACCCAGACAAGTGATCCCTTGAACTTTAATTCTAACGGTTCTTCATGGCTATCGCTAGGGTTGGAACTAGGACCAGGAGCTCGGGATCAGCGATGATGGGCAATACTGGGTTAGATCTGTTTTGTCTCGGGTAGCATTTCTTGATACAGTACAAACATAGTCTACCAATGCGTTACACAACTTGCCGAGACAAGTAATCCCTCTATTGATAGAGCTTACATAACTGAAAAGGTAATCCCCTGAACTTTAATCTTCCAACTGAGCTAACTGAAGTCAAAATATCACTATAAGGCTTGTCATATCTAAAAAGGAATGGTTTACTGGAACCGCCGCAGATAACGAGTCACAAGTCTGTCGGCGTCTCCACGAAGTCTTATCAAATCTCAGTAGACTCAAGTTCTTGGAGAAATCCCTTGTACAGAGCTGAGGTGTGGAGCGAATGGTGCATGCGGGATTCGGATACCGAAACCGATATGTAGTGATTGTCATACGTAGATCGGTTAAATAGCTTGTTGTTACCAGCTCAAGCGAACGTATTTAATTCTCAAATACATTATTGTGCAGAACTCAATATCAAGTGTCTTGAAATGCCGCTTCGAGACACTGATCACCTTTTTGGCTGTGGTCACCATGTGACTGCAGTGTCCGACCGGAACTGTGATTCCTCTAGAAGCACTAAACCCTCCGAATCTTCACGTCATTCATCTACACATGCTTCTCAAGCCTGCGACATCTGGAAAAAGATTCAGAGTATCAAGGACTGCGGCTTTATTCTTCTAGATGGATCCGACCTTGATGTCGCTTCGGTCATTGCGGTTGCCAAGTAAGTTACTAACAACGGATGTTACAGATTGTCAATCTTACAAGGATTCTAGGTACAACTGCAATGCTTATGTCGCGAAGAGAGACGATATTGCAGACGCTATGAATAAAAGTGTCGTATTGCTCGAAGAGTATCTCGCCAAGGGCTACTTTGTATACGGTAGATCACCAACTCTCAGTGTCTCAATCCTCTAGTCTGACTAGATGTTAGGTGTCAATACTGGCTTCGGCGGAAGCGCTGATACTCGTACAAAAGACCTCCCAGCTCTGCAATCGGCACTGCTGCAACTCACCCAGGCGGGGATCTTGACTGATGAAGACAATGGGCTCAACAGTATGCCTGTCACCTGGGTTCGAGCCGCCATGTTGATTCGCTGCAACACATTGCTTCGAGGCCATTCAGGCGTGCGTCTGGAGCTTGTCCAAGCCCTCCTGCTCCTCCTTCGTAAGGCCATGACACCTATTGTTCCCTTACGAGGATCTATCTCCGCATCTGGCGACTTGATCCCCCTATCATATATCGCCGGTATGCTTGAGGGCAACCCTGACATTCGCGTCCGCACATCGACTTCCTTCGTTCTCTCTGCTGACAAGGCCCTTGAGCTCGCTGGACTCGAACCAATTACTCTTGGACCCAAGGAGGGTCTCGGACTGGTCAATGGGACGGCTCCATCAGCTGCTTTGGGATGCCTGGCAGTACACGAGGCAAACAAGATCTTGTTACTAGCTCAAGGCCTTGTAGCCATGTCATGCGAGGCGTTACTTGGCAAGGCTGAGAACTATCATCCCTTCATTTCTTCTGTTTGCCCTCACCCTGGGCAAGTCGAATGTTCTGAGACCATCTTGCAGTTCCTCGGTGGCTCTTCACTCGTTCAAAGTCTCAAAGGGGACGACAAGTTCAAGCCCGGTCTTGCGCAGGATAGATATGCCTTACGAGGCGCTTCACAGTGGCTCGGCCCTCAAGTTGAGGATGTCCGCTCCGTACTATCTCAGATTACAGTGGAACTGAACTCAACTTCCGATAACCCCATCATCGATATTAAATCCGGCGAGGTCTACTCGGGCGCCAACTTCATCTCCAGCTCCGTTGCCAATGGAATGGAAAAGAGTCGCCTAGCTCTTCAGATGGTCGGCAAACTTCTCTTCAGCCTCTCCTCCGAATTGATCAACCCTACAATGAACAGAGGCCTTCCTCCAAATCTCGTCGCCGACGACCCCAGTTTGTCTTTTACCATGAAGGGTATTGATATCAGCATGGCTGCTTACCTGTCAGAGCTTGGATATCTTGCGAACCCTGTTACGCCCCATGTCCAGTCCGCAGAGATGCACAACCAGTCCATCAACTCTCTAGCGCTGATCTCGGGAAGGTATACTCTTCAAGCTGCTGGTGTTGTCACGCAAATGTGCGCTGCGCATCTTTTCGCTGTTTGTCAGGCCTTGGACTTGCGGGTCCTACATATGACGTATCTTCAAGCGCTCAGAAGCAAATTGTCCTCTGTAGTACAGCCGTTCCTCGGTGGAGTTGACGACCAGGTAGCTGAAGGAATCTATGAGAGCCTTCACGAGACTATTGTCAAATCGTGGAATGCTTCGGCTTGCATCGATCTTGAAGATCGATGCAAGATCCTGTCCCGGGAAACGGTACCGGTCCTTTGTGAGCATCTTGAGGAGCACGAGATGCATCTTGTATCAACACGGTCACTCCAGAGAGACCTGGAGAATTTGGCTTATTCAACCTTTACCCAGACACGGAGTGAGTTCTTCATCAAGCCTCCTACCAAGCAATTCCTGGGCCGCGCTTCTCTGAGATTATACTCTTTTGTAAGAGAAGAGCTGGGAGTGCCCTTCCATCACGGCCTGGTTGAGCATCCCGGTAGAAGCGTCAGGGGCAAGATCAATAGGCAAGAGAAGAGAACTATTGGGTCCTGGGTTTCGATCATCTATACCGCCCTGACTAACGATCATGTTTGGGGTCCTTTGGTTGAGGCTCTAGGGAGCAAGACTTGCTCAATGCGACTGGTCTAAGGGCCCATCATGTTATCCAGTGTTCCTGCCGCTCAGAGCCGAGGTCCTAACTTGTCTTTCCTCCCCATATCCTAGATACCTTTTCGTTGCTGATGCCTTTGCACAGCAGTGGTTTACTTACATCTCATTGTTTATCCGCATTCTTTTTCGCAAGATCTGAATTTCTGTGCCAGTTGAAGTAATTACAATTTGAGCTGGGAAATAATTTAAATACTTAAACATAAAAATCATATCTTAAACTCGGGCTGCTTCACTTGTCCCGCTTTGTGCGTGAATTCCGTTCGCTCCATTGATGCTCTTCACCGGGGGGCTGCCATTTGCCCCATTGGCTCCATTGATAGGTGTTTGATCCTTCTGTTTTGCCTTTTCTCTCAAAATCTTCTTCAGGACCTTGCCGCTCTGACCTCGGGGAAGCTCCTCGATGAAACGGATCTGCTTACGCAGCCAGTGCGTCTCATCAAGCTGGGCCTTGATACTCTCATCTAACTGCAAGATGAGCTCCTTCTTCTCTTGGGCAGTCATATCCTGCTTGGTTGGTACGACAAAGGCAAGCGGTCGTTCACCTGCTTCATCGTCTACAACGCCAATGACTGCGGCGTCGGAAATACCAGGCTGTACTCGGAGGAGCTCCTCGATCTCAGCGGGGTTGACTTGTAGGCCCTGGGTACTTGTCAGTGATGAGGCATGGGAAGACGGAAGGAAACATACCTTGACCTTGATCATGTCCTTGAGTCGGTCAACCAGATAAAGATGGTCATCACCATGGGGACTTCTTCTGAAGAAGCCAATATCGCCAGTGGGCAACCATCCATCAACTGTAAACTTGGACCTCATCGCATCATCTTCACCAAGATATCCTGGGATCATGGCAGCTGACTTGAGGTAGAGCTCTCCGGCAGTATCATATGTGGTGATCTCCTTTCCCTCCTGATCAATGAGACGGCCCTGGTTAGACGGGAACAGACAACCGCTCGACCCGGGCATGATATCAGCCGCGCGGCTGAACGTCACGATGGATACACATTCAGTCAGACCTATTGCAGGGAAGTCAGTCAGAGGGAGGGAACCCGATCCTGTGTTGGTGTTGGCTTACCGTATCCGACTAGGAGACTCCAGCTAGGCATCAAAGACTTCATCTTCTTGGTCACACTATCACTGCATGCCGCAGCGCCAAGGACAACATCTTGAACCGAAGAGAGATCAAAGATCTCGAAGAGAACTGGGTTTGCTGCCAGCGCGGCAATGACGGGAGGGACCTTGCACCATCAGTAACATTTCTTCATAAGGCAACAAATAACCTACAAGATAAAGACGCGAAATGCGATGCTCTTGAATCGATTTGAGAACCAACTGCATGTTGAAGTTCGGATGAAGAACAGTCGAGTCACCTCTTACAAACATAGCGTGGGTAGTGACGAGACCGTAGCCGTGGTTAAGCGGCAGTACTCCGAGGCCGATATCAGGGTGTTTGTACCCAGCTGAGCTCTCAAAGACGGCTGCTTGAGTGACATTGGCGATTAGGTTAGCATGCGTAATTATGGCGAGTTTCTAATCGTATTAGCCTTGGCCAAATTGATACAGGTGAGAACTCTTGTTGTACCTGGGGTCCTGAAGTTCCACTCGTAGTAAGGTAGAACGCAACCGTGGTGCGAGCATCCCTAGGCTGAAGCTGCTCAAGCTCAGAGAGCTCACTGCCCTCCTGGTAGAGTTGAGGTAGGCATTTGATCTTTCCCTCAAAGCTGGGCAATTGAGTGTTGCTTGTGTTGATGGAGAAGATCCGTCGGGGGGCTTTGGGAAGACGGTTCAAGATTTCTTTGCAGGAGGGTAATAGCTCTTCGCATGTGATGAGGATGTCGCATTTGGCTTTGGTCATGTGAGATGAAATCTCAACGGGTGAAGTAGTAGGCTGGAGAAGTAGACAAATGCCACCGATGCGATGAATTGCCCAGCAAACAACGAGAAAGTCAAGCTATAGAGTAATCAGGATTATAAGCCCATTGGAGTGTTGAGCAACGTACCGAATTGACAGCCAAAACGCCAATGACCTTGTCTTCAGCAGTGCCCTGATTCGGTAACCATCCAAGTTCATTGCACAAGGCTTTCGCCAAAGCGTTCACCTTTTCTCTGACTTCCTTGAGGGTATACTTCTTGCCCGTCAAGGCGCAGATGAAAGGTGAGCGAACACTACCAGAGGCACGTCGGCTCTCGAGTGCCCATTCAGCAACATTTGCATTGGGGGAAATCTGGGTGGTGATGTCAGGGACCCATGAGGGAGGTTGGAAGACCATCTTGACCAAGGGTTCAGGGTATACAGGGTTATCCGCTGTGTTGGTACCAACAGTGGAGAAAGTCGTTTCAGGTATGTTGACCCAACGGAGTACTCTGATAAATAGACGGAGACAGTGGATGAAGTCGGATAACAGATGAAGACCGAAGAACGATGCTCCATCGAATAGAGCCATGTCCAATTATAATAACAATATCGTACTATGTAAATGACCTTGTGTAACCAGAATGTCACTGGTGAGCTTGGGGATCGCGGGGTCGGAGGATTACAGGATTGAAGGATCATAAGCAAGCCATCAGAGTCGAGGATTAACCAATTCAACAACACTAATTATTAACGTTTCGCCGCAGTTTATCTTACTTGCATCTTCCTGCAGAAGTACACTAAGACCGGGCAGTCAAGAGATAATAAACATGCCATTTTTCTGCATTGCTGATAGCATGTGAATTGACACTCCCGATCCCGCAATCCTCTGATCCTGGGCCAGAGCCTCAACACTCGTAAGCACTGGATGCAATTGGCCTTACCGGCTTATATAGACTATTACCTGCTATTCCAATACTCTTAGTGGTATTCTCGCTAATTCCGACCCAAACACCGCCATCATGTTCTCCCCATCACCTCAAACCCTCGGCATCGTCGTCGCCGTCTTTGTCGTAGCCACTCTTCTCATCCGCCGCGCCCTCCTCCCCAAGCCCATCCCCGGCATCGTCTACCGCGAAGCCAACGCCAAAAAGATCCTCGGCAACGCCTGGGAACTCTTACAATGGAAGAAGAAGCACGGTGAAATGTTTGGCTATCTCGCCAATCTCGCCGTCGAACTCAACGAACCCGTCTTTCAGATCTTTGTGCACCCGCTCGGCAAACCATGGGTCATCGTCGCAGATAATCGCGAGGCTTTTGACATCTTGTCGAGGAGGACACCGAAGGAGTTTGATCGTTCGAGATTCTTGAGGAGTTTGTTCATGCCGCTTGTGCCGGAGTTCCACTTCCATATGCCGACTGGTGATCGGTGGAAAGCCCATCGGAAGTTGGTGGCTGATACCATGTCGCCTGCGTTTCTGGGCGGTGTCGCTGGGCCGCAGATGTGGAAGTCTACTATGAAGCTGATTGATCTTTGGAGGGTTAAAGAGCGATTGGCCAAGGGTCGTCCGTTTTCTGTCTCGACGGATATTCGCAAGGCGGCTTTTGAGATCATCTGGGCTGCTACCTTTGGCTTTGACTCTGGCTCAACAAACGCGCAGACTGAGCTACTCGAGACACTGCCCGAGTTCACCAACCTGGGTGACATGGACCATGAAGTCGAATTCCCCGTCGCACCTGATCCTCCCGTCTTCAAAGCCGGTCTCGCTCTCAACGACGCCATGAACATCGGCGTACAATCACTTGTACCCGGACTGCATTTGTGGTTGGCCTACAACCTAATGCCATCTCTACGTGCCGCCCGAAGCCTCAAAGAAGCTGTTATCCAAGACGAAATCAAGAAAGCGATCAACAAATTCTCCAATCAGACTGATCTCAACTGGGAAGATCAAGGTAATCTGAAGCGACACATGAAGAGTGCCGTCGATATTGTCATCGCTCGAGAGATTGACAGCGCACGAAAGGAGGGCCGCACGCCCGAGTTGATGAGTCGCACCGTCCAAGATGAGCTTTTCAGCTTCATGCTTGCTGGAAACGAGATCTTCACTCTCACTGCCTGGACCCTCAAGTTCCTCACTACGCATCAGAATGTTCAGAAGAAGGTGCGCGAGGAACTCAGAGAGCAATGCGGTGTCGCTGTTGAGAGAGGCGACGCACCAACTGTTTCGGAGATCATGTCTGCGAGACTTCCGTACTTCGAGGCTATGATTGAAGAGTCTACGCGATGTGGTTCAGTTACCCAGACTAACATCCGCACGACGATGCAGGATGTTAATATACTGGGTCATATGGTCCCCAAGCACACAGAGATTTTAATGCTGAACAATGGACCTGGAAGTTTCATGCCTCCACTGACTGTTGACGAGGAGAAGAGATCAGAAAGTTCAAAGGGCACAGCTGGTAAGATCGGACAATGGAACGTCAAGGGCATGAGAGACTTTGACCCAGAGAGATGGCTCGTCAAAGATGAAGAGGGTCGATTGACGTTCAATCCTTCTGCTGGACCACGACATTCATTCGGTGCTGGTCCCAGGGCCTGTTTTGGTAAGTTCCCTGCACTGTTGCGCTGTTATTCAATTACTGATCAATGTTATAGGTCGTAAATGGGCTGCGCTGGAGGTCAAGATCATGATGGCGCTTATTGTTTGGCACTTTAATCTGGAGCAGACGCCAAAGCCGCTGTCGAGCTTTAAGCCGTTCCCTGGTGTTGCGCATAGACCGGAGATGATATACTTGCGTTTATCGAATGTTTAGAAGAGTAAATTGGTAGATTAGGGTGAACAATGCTGCGAAAGGACATTGAAGGTCGTCGCAATTGCAATCATGTTGATTACAGTGATCAAGTTACAGTGACGAGAATAGAATTAGATTGACATCCTCAGCGGGGTCAAACCACTGCATTGTGGTGTTACAGTGAGCTTAGGCCATGTTCTTCAGCGGGCTTCGTCATATAGGGACGCTCTGCAGTGGAATCCTTAAGTCATTCTGCATTCTAAGTTAGTCGCTGCATTTATCATAAGAGCAACGAATAATTTTAGTTTCGCTTTTTAAGCTAGAGTATTAAAATGATCTTTGTGGTCTTGCTGGAATGCCTTCTGTGAACCTGCCTTTTCGTTGCTCTGATAGCGGAACGCCGCTCTGAATTGAATGTTGTAAATTTGTATGTTAGTTGTTAGTGCCGGTTTGCAAGTTCAACACCACGTCGCAATCCCCCGTGATCCTGATCCTGCAATCCCGACGTCAGATCCTCCCGGTCTTGCAGTGTCCTAATCACAACTTATAGTGAGTGCATGCCCCGCAGCCGGAACCCAATTGTGCCGCTGATCCTCAGAATTTGCGAGACAACATGAAAGCCGCTGCACTAAGACATATTCTTCCGTTCAGTCACTTTCAACTGTCAGTATCACACCTTTTCGCCTCAATCGCTTCTGTCAAGCTGAGACTCGGTAGAGAATTATCATGGCGCTCGGTTTAGGCAAGTTGAAAACACTGGGCCTCAGTGTCCTGATCTTTGCGATTCTGGTCGCTGGATTCGACAAGACGGACGACACAAAACACCGCTTCCAGCTTCACATTACGGGCACGCGAATACTTGGTTTGTTGATTGTCATATTCGTCGTATCAAACTTCAAGTCGATGCCATTTGTCTGGACAGTAAGTTTCTTGTCTCTCTCTCGTTTGAAATGCGCTAATGGGACGGCCAGCTTCGTGTTCTGTACACAATTTCGTACCATACCGTGATTCGCAAATCACCCCAGTTAGGCCCCAAAGCGCTCTTCAAGCCTATCATCGCCACGACTTCCACTCCTCTCCTCGAAGTCGATTATTATCTTCACAAGTCCAACTCGACATATTTCGCCGATCTTGACGTTGGGCGTGCGCATTTGATTGCATATCTTTTCCGTCATGGCTTTCATCGACTATCTAATAACACCAAGCTTGGGATCGTTCTTGATCCAAAGACTGGTACACCAATGGGCGGAAGACTTGGAATAAATCTTGGTGCTGTTGAAACCTGCTTCCGACGTGAAATCACAGCATTTAAACAAGTTGAGATGTGGAGTTACGTCTTGGCTTGGGATCGAAAATGGTTATACATTGTTACGCATTTCGTGCCGAAGGGTACAGTTCTCCCGACAGAGTGGCTTGATCCACGGTTTGCGAGAACAGCGACAAGGCTGCTCCTCAAGGAGTCTGGCGATTTGAGCAAGAAGATCTATGCTACTGCTCTGAGTAAATACGTATTCAAGCTAAAACGTCTTACGGTGCCACCATCGACTGTGTTGGAGGAGGCTGGGCTGTTGCCAACCCGACCTGGAGGATGGGCAATCGAGGAGCAGGACCTGGGGACATCTGACCCTTTTCATCCGGGTGCCGATATGGGCAAAGATGGTGAATGGAATTGGGAACAGGTTGAGGCTCGACGACGTAGGGGAATTGAGTTGATTAGCAAGCCAAACCATCTTGACTTGATCCATGATGGCTTCGATGGTGGTAGTGATGGAGCAATTGGACGTTTCAGCCCAGGATAGCATGTTTACTTCAATAACATATCGATTAATTCGCAGGTCGAATAAGTCATAAAACAATGGATCAGTGATTGCTATCATAATTGCCAATGCAGACAAATGCTGTAGTCGCAGACGCAATGGGTTCATCGCAATGTCCAGATACAGACTCGAGGTACAGCGAGCTCAGCGTTGATCGCCCTCTGTAACGCGCTGGGCACTTCAAGGTTGCGGGGCAGAGGGCTGCTGTGAGGCGCGATCATCAAGGTACCGACAATGATAGAGATATAAATACGATTAAAGACCATGATTAAAGAGAAGAAAGAGAGATATTTTCTATGAAAGCCCAGCCAATTTCGATCTGTAAATACAATAAATAGCACCAAGCCCAACTCCAAACTCCAAACTCCAGTAAATAATACTCTTAAAAGAACTAACATTAGGAAAGTCGTGCGCTATCAATCTCAAGTCTTAATCCCCTTCAGAACCTCACAAAGATCCTCCATCAATCCCTCCACCACCTCTGAAGCGATAACCTCCTCCGAGTATCCCGCCACAATACTCATCTCACCACCCTTGGGCTCAACCGTGACCCAAACATCCGTAACATTAGGCGGTACAACAGTGTAGTCAACACTGCACTCAGCGCCATGCATGCCAAAGCTCTTCTGAGCCTCGGGCAAATTCTGGTATTGCAGAATAGAAGAGAAGCGAGGGATTTGATCTGTTGGGGTGTTCCAGTTTGTGCACTGGCGGAAGACGGTCTCCCAGCCGAGATGTTCGTGTGGCAAGGCCGAGATGTGCTGTTGGTGGACTTGTTGAAGAATGTTAGACTGGGGCTGGGCGGTGTTGACGCGGATGGGGATGAGGTTGACACATGGACCGTTGACCTTCTCGATGTCGTCGATTGGTAGCGAACGACCGGAGACGAGATGGGCAAAGACAACGTCGGATGTCCCTGTTGCCTTGGCGAGGACCATTGCCCAAGCTGCCTTGAGGTACGATGACACCGTGAGTCCCGACCCTTCAACCTTTGGCGACAGTACCGTCTTGACGATATAAGAGCCCGTCACAGCCTTGCTTGTTTGCGAAGCACTAGACAGACGAGCCATGCTCGAGCCCTGCAGCAAATCACCCCAGAACTTCATCGCGGGCTTCGTATCAGTCGCCCTCAGCGCATCAATGTAATACGACATCTGTCGCGGCGCCTCAACCTCAACCTCAACATCAGGCTCACCCCACACCTGCAGCTGCTGGAAGAAAATCGGCAAGGACATGCCGTCATACTGAGCGTGGGAGATCCTAACCACAAGACTATCCTTGTGCTCGCCTTGCACGAACCATGTCTTGAAGGGGGGTTCGTGAAGCTCAAGATGTTTCTTCTGGTCTTCTTGTACGAGGGACTTGCAGAAGGTGGATAGGTCCGTGGGGGCGATGTGTTCTTGGAAGGGAACGGTGAAGTTGTTGAGGATGGCTTGGTAGGATTTTCCGTCGTGCTGGGTGAAGACTGTTCGGAGGACTTCGTTTTTGTCGACTGTGGTTTGTAGCGCTCTATGGACGCGTTGTTTGTCGACTTTTTGATTGTATGTGATTGTGGCGTGCATGAGCCATCGGCCTTGTGTATGTTCGTGGAGAACAAGGGATTGGAATTCGGTTGTTTCGAGGACTTTCTCGACGCTGACGTGGCTGAGAAGTGTAGCCTTGATCGCGGCTTGTGTTGCTTGGTCGACACCTTCAACGTGATGGCTTCTTGTCTCATGTGGGTGCCTAGCTTGCTCGAGATGTGTAGCAAGGTCTCTCAAGACAGGGCTCTGGAAGATTTGAGCGACAGTCATCTTGAGGTCAACTGCCCTTGCAGCTGCGACGAGCTGAATAGCAGCAAGTGAATCTCCGTTGAGATGGAAGAAGTTGTCGCTTGCGCCGATTGACTCCGCGGGTCGTCGAAGCACTTGACTCCAGAGCTGCTGAAGTTGTTTCTCCATGTCAGTCGTGACTGGAACCAACCGGGCGCCTGTCGTAAGGCGATACTCCTCTAATTTGTTTTCATCCATATCCTCCAACACCGCAGTGATTGCCCGACGATCAAGCTTGCCTGATGAGTTCACCGGCAACTTACTCATAGGGATGAAGAAATCGGGGATCATGTACTGAGGCAGCACCTCTGCGAGCCTGACGCGAATCTCCTCCCACGCTTTCTGTAGCGTCTCCGAAGGAGCCAACACTCCATCTCCAACTTGTCCCTCTCCAACTTCCACCGCTACTGCAATTGTAGGTCTATCCTCCCTCTTTACAAACACAGCCGCTGCTGATCTAATATCCTCCGATGATTGTACCACTGAGTACTCAATCTCTCCCAACTCAATTCTCTGACCGCGAATCTTGACCTGCGTATCCCAACGACCGAGATTGGTGTATGTCCCATCGTCGTTCTGTTGAACCAAGTCGCCTGTACGGTACATGCGATGTCCGTTGCCCAAGCCGTAACGCGCTGTAAAGCCAGGGTCTGTGATGAATGCGCCATCTGTTTTGGCTGCATCGTTCAGATAGCCCTGCGAAACCTGGGGACCTTCGATGAGAAGCTCTCCTGGGGCACCAATTGGGCAAAGTTTGTTGTGGTCATCAGGATCGACAACCCAAACACGACAGCTTGGCAGCGGAGAGCCGAGGACGTTAGCTTGCTTCCTGTCTGTGAATGGGGCTGCTGACACGATGGCGTAGATGGAGCATTCGGTTGGGCCGTAACCGCCGAGGATATCTGCATCATGATCCATCCACAAGTCAAGAACTGACGGCTTGACAGGTTCACCGAGCAATACCACCGTGTTGATGTTAGGTAGCTGAGATGGTGCAAGAAGCTCAGCGACCGTAGGTGTGATAGACAGGAAGTTGACCGCCCTTTCAATGATGAAATGCTGCAGATCGCTCATCCTCTCATCCTCAGAGGGTACGCAGACACATCCTCCAGCAGACAGCGTGGTGAAGATCTCTTGGATAGCAGCATCAAAGGTATGTGCTGCGAATTGAAGTACTCGAGAAGTTTTGCTGAGACCAAAGACCTTCTTCTGACTGTCCAGACTAGACGAGATACCGGCATGAGTAAGAACCACACCCTTTGGTGTACCTGTACTGCCAGAGGTATACACGATCCAGGCTGGCTGATTGACGTTGATCTCAGTGACGCGAGTGTACCATCGATCTGGGATACCGACGTCACTGACAACGACCCTCTTGCGCAACGACTCATCAACAGTAAACATTTCCAAGTTCAAACCAGCCAGCCGCTCAGTCTGCTTCTGATCAGCCAGTACAACACTGACTTTTGCATCATCGACAATGAGCTTGATACGACCAAGAGGGAGCTGTACACCCAGTGGAACGACAACACCACCGGCCCGTAGGATGGCTAGCATTGAAACAGCAGCCCATTGAGATTTATCCATGCACACGCCAACGCTGGTGTCGTGACGAACGCCGAGACTGACGAGATGATCGGAGAGTTT